TCAAACTTGGCTCAGCCAGGCCAGCCGCGCGCAGGCAAATAGATGTATATCACTGTCACTGTCCTCCCTTTGTTCATCAATTTGCTCGAGCGGGCCCAGTAACATCTCCATTGTGACACTTGTTACTGTGTTTGGCATATCGAATACGTCACGGGTAGCTTGCCAGGCTTTGCTGTGCAGGCGAGATACTCTCAGTAGCTTGCAGGGCTCTACAAGAGGGGCGGACGAATCAAACTTGGGTCAGCCATGTTGGCTGCATGCAAGGCAAACGCCCTACCTGCTGTGCTAATAGATATATATATGAAATAAAAATTTGAAAAGTACATTTCTGGGGCCGGAGAGAATGTTATATGATGTCTAGTTTCTCTTCTTTCTTTTTTATTTTTTGTGAGCCACACCCGGGCTCAGGGGTTGCTCTGCATTCAGGGATCACTCCAGGCATCCAGGCAGTGGTCAGGCAACCACATGGAATTCTGGGAATTGAACCTGGATAGTCTGTGTGTAAGGCAAACACCCACTATCTCTTCATCCCTATCATTTACTTTTCCCTGGCAGTGCTCAGGGGCTACTCCTGGCTTTAGCTCTGGGGATCGGGGGTGGCTCCTGACAGTGCTCAGAGGACCATGCAGCACTAGGAGTTGAACAGGCTTCTGCCTGTCCTCTAGAAATCTGAGCCATCTCCCAGATCTGTAGACACATATATTTTGTTTTGTCTTGTTTCTTTGGCTTTTTGGGTCACTCCCAGTGATACTCAGAGGTCACTCTTGGCGGTGCTTGGGTGACCAGATAGGATGCCGGGGATTGAACCTGAGTCAGCTGCATGCAAGGCAAATGCCTTTCCTGATGTACTATCACTCTGGCCCCAAGCGTATTTTTATTTCACATGTATATCTGTATAAATAAAAATTTTTAAAAAATTAAATTTTTATTTCACATGTCAAGGTGAATCAAGTTTATAAAGAATAGAAATTAGCTAGCAGGTTAGCCCTAGTGATGTAAGGGGTGTGAGGGGTCAGGGATCTTTATGTTTGAGCCACAAAAACCAGGAAGTGTGAAGGCATTTCTGAGGAAGACGAAGACTCTCACTTTGAACACACTGACTCTGATTCACAGCAGAGCTTACACAGCAGCCATCTCTCTCCCAACCTCTATTCAAAGTGTCGTTGTGAGGAATGCGGAACTTTCCCCTCAGGTCATTAATAATTAGCTCTCAAGAAGAGATGATGCTTTAATAAGGGAACTAACCTTTATTGAGCCTTGATTAGATGTCAGGCTCTCTGGAGCCCATTTCTCCTGAATCCTTTTAGCGGCCCTGTGAGGCAGAAACCACCAATTCCATTTTACAAATGAGGAAGCTGAGGCTTACTTAAAAAGAGGATAAGAAACTGGAAGACTGAACAGTTTGCAAGTGATTTCTTGCATCTGGCCAGGGAGCCATGTCAGCTCTAAGGGCGTCTGCATCACGGTTTCCTCATTTCCTCACAGCTTTGTGTAATAGTGTCCGAGGGCTGCTGTACACATGACTGAAAACTGGGGGCCTTTAGCATAATGTGTTCTTTTGTAGCTCCAGAGGCTGGAAGCCCAAAATCACAGGGTCAGTAAAGTTGGTTCCTTCTGAGAGTGAACCTAGGTGAGGGTGACTGTTGGTGGTTCTGGCCTTCATGCCACTCTCTCCATTTTCATCTTTCTGTATGAATTCCTGTCCCGCTGGATTAGTACTCCCACTTCCTGGTCCAGTGTGACCTCATTTTCAGTAATTACATCAGCAAAGACCTGATTTCCAAAGAAGGACACATTCTGAGGCACTGCGGATCAGGTGACTACATCAGGTCTTTCATTGCCTGGATTTTGGTTTCTGTCTTCTGGGTCCCACTCAGTCAGGCTGAGGGGCTACTATGGGCTACGTGCTGCTCCTTGGGGTGTTTGGAGGAGCATGTGGTATTGGAGACCACACAGATCACCCCTGCAGTGCTTGCTCCACACCCTGTGATGTTCAGGTCCATTATGGTGCAGGGGCTCAAAAGGCTCTGGGATTGGAGAGACAGTACAGGAAGTAAGGTGTTTGCCCTGCAGGTGGCTGATGGCAATGCATATGGTCCCCTGTGCACTGACAGGAGTGATCTCTGAGCACACAGGCAGGGAGGGGTAAACTCTGAGCAGCTCCACTGTGGCTCCCAAGCCAACAAACAAAATGGGGCTTAGGTGCAAACAAGGCATGCATTTTTGTTGTTGTTTTTTGCTTTTTGGGTCATACTGGCAATGCACAGGGGTTACTCCTGGTTCTGCATTCAGGAATTACTCCTGGAAGTGTTCAGGGGACCATTTGGGATGCTGGGAATTGAACAGGGTTGGCCACATGCAAGGCAAATGCCCCTATCTTCTGCTGTGCTATCTTGCCAGCCCCAAGGCATGCATTTTTTTGTTTTGTTTTTTGGGTCACACCCAGCGATGCACAGGAATTACTCCTAGCGGGGGAACCATATGGGATGCTGAAAATTGAATGGCCACGTGCAAGGCAAATGCCCAACTGGCTGTGCTATTGCTCCAGCCCCAAGGCATGCATTTTAATCCTTCTACTATCTCCACCAAAACATGTATTTCTGGAGGGATACAATTCAACCCATGCAACCTTATTGCAAAAATAAATCCAGAGCCAGAGAGTGGAGAGGGTGCTTTACCTTGCATGCAGCCAACCTGGGTTTCATCCCTGGCACCTGACACGGTCCTCTAGCCTACCAGGGGTGATCCCTGAGCACAGAGTTTGGAGTAAGCCCTGAGCACTGCTGGGTGTGGCCCAAAAACCAAAAAAAGAAGAAAAAGAAAAAAGAAAAAAATTCAGGGATTGGGGGAAATATTTCCCATTGATTTCAATGATTTTTCCACAAAAGATTAACTTTTTATTTTTGGTGGGAGAGGGGGCACATCTGATACGTGGGGTTCACTCTGGGCAGTTCTAGGGAATCATAATTGGTGCTGGGAATTAGACTTGGGTCAGCTGCATGCAAGGCAAGCAAACGCCTTAACCCTGTACTATTTCTCTGGTTCAAGTATTTATTAGACTCCTAAATTCTGCCCAAATTGACAGTATTTCTAAAATCCTCACAAGTAATTCTAATGAATACTTTTGATTCTCCATGTCCTGTCTCTTGGACAACATCTACACACTCAGCTGCACAAAATCACAGATCCACTAACTCTCCTTCCAAACTGCACTCTGAGAGAGAATGGCTAGTCTAAGTGTGAGATACAATTGAAGGAGTCAGGAAACTGCCTTGGATGGAAATATATCCCTTTGTGCAGACAATGAAGTCTAACAATGACAACTTTCAAGCATTCTCTTAAGCAAACATCTTCGGGCTTGTACAAAGACCTGGTTTCTTCGGTCACCCCCACACCTTTCCATCGTCCATCAGGTTTTTCTTGCAAGTCTGTACACAGTGTCTTTATTAATTTACCTCATTCCTATAACTTGGGAATTCTGGGGTGAGGTCACACCTAGCAGTGCTCAGGACTTACTCCTGGCCCTGCACTCAGAGATCACTCTTGGCAGGATTTGGGGTACTATATGTGGTTTTGGGAATCAAACCTGGGTCAGCAGTGCTAGGCAAGAGCCCTACTTGCTGTTCTATCTCTCTGCCCTTTAACCTAGACTTGTGTAGAAATGGCCCCACTCTCTGAGTGTGGATTCTGTTATTTCAGTAAACTGCTTGCTCTATTTTACAGTACTGCAGTGAGCACCGTTTCTCAACCCTTTTCCAGCTGTGGCCCCCTTCCATCCTTGCTTCCTTTCTATGGTACCCCTGTCTGAATAACTGCCCCTCTAGTCCCCTGCTTTGTCCTCCTGCAGTTTTGATCTATTCACCCCTTGGAATATCCTCACAGGGATAAAGTAGATTCCATGAAGAGATGACTAGCTTAATTCTTTTATCTAAAATGCTTGACATGCTGAGAAAGTCCTTCTTAGTTGGGACCAGAATACTCAGCACATTCACTGACCTGGAAAGGGCTCAGAATATTATATACATCCAGCTGCCACTCATTACTGGAACTGGCTCAGGATATTCTCTAAACAGTTCCCTGTCACTCAATCCACATTCTGCCAAACTGCTGAAAGCAGAAACTTCTTGATTGAACAGCCCAAGAGAGACACACAAAAAGACCCACCGAGACAATGCGAGGGGGACCAATTTCTCAGATCTCCATCATGTCAGTCCAATCAATTAATTCTCTAATACTCTAACAATAAAACAATTTTTTCCCCTTCTCCTTACTTCTTGGTTTTGAGGCCACAGCCAAAGGTGCTCAGGGCTTACTTATTCCTGCTGCACTGTCTTTCGGGTCCTCCCATCCGATTTTCAGGGCTCAAAGTTAAAGTCACTTCTGAGCCGGATCGAGAGTTCAGCAGGTAGGGCACTTGCCCTGCACGCGGCCGACTTGGGCTCGATCCCGGGCAGCCCTTGCGGTCCCTCGAATCCCCTAGGAGTGATCCCTGTGCTCAGAGCCAGGAGTAATCCTGAAGACTGCCTGGGGGTGGCCGCAAACAAAATAGGGATAGGGCTGGAGCAATAGCACAGCGGGTAGGGCGTTTGTCTTGCACGCGGCCAACCCGGGTTCGATTCGCAGCATCCCATATGGTCCTCTGAGCACCGCCAGGGGTAACTCCTGAGCACAGAGCCAGGAGGAACCCCTGTGCATTGCCGGGTATGACCCAAAAAGCAAAAAAAAAAACAAAAAAAAAAAAACCCAAAACAGGGATAAAGTCACCTCTCTCCCCGCGCCTCTCTCTAACCGCCAGCTCGCACTCGGTTCCCGGGTCGGTCGCATTCGTTGTCCCCGGAAATGAGGTTCCTTCCCGCACCACCCACGCCCGCTCCCCGCGTCCCAGCAGCGAAGGTCTGCGGGGTCCCGGGCCCCTCGGCGCTAGCGGCCGCTCCCGCCGGCCAGGAACGGGCTCCGGAGGGCACTTCCGGGCAGGGCACACCGGAACCGGAAGCCGCAGAGGGCGCGTGGCTTGTGGGCTGCGTCCGGGTAACTGCAAACATGAGCGTCACTAGTCTCCTTTTGGCGGGAGGTAGGGCTCCCGGGCTGCTGGGTGCGTATTCCGACCGCGTCCGTCCCGGTGGATCTCTGCCCGTCCAGGCTTCCTTCTACAGCCCTAGCTGAGCCGGGATACGGCCGTGGCCCCGGTGTGGCCCCTGCCCGACCCTTCGCTCGGAGGTTTCCCGCACTAAGCGGCTCGCGTGCCACGGGGGGCTGCGGAGTCCCAGTGACTTTCTGCTGGTTTCCAGCCATTCTGATGGCTCTCCCATCGTTTCTTCTTGCAGAAACATAGTCGTGATAGAGATCTTGAAAATATGTAAGAAAATTAAAACGGCCTTCAAATCTACCGGTCAACTAAAACATTTCGTATGAACTTGATTTTATTTGGCTCCACTAGGTAGCAAATTAGTGAATTTTTGAAATCAGTGGAAATAAATATCCTTAACGAGATCCCTCTAATGTTAAAATATTTCCAAACAAAACAGAACAAACCACGAAAACAGACCAAAACGTGTTAAGATACTTGCTTTCTTGGCTGGGTGGGGGTGGTGGGTAGGGAGGAGACTCCCTTTAACAACCCCAGGGTGCTGGATATAAATCCGGGACTTCAGCAAAGCAGCACTTGAACCTGTTTAGTGATCGGTTTCCCTGGTTCAAATATTTGATGGACATAAGATTTCTTCTTTTTTTTTTTTGCTTTTTGGGTCACACCCCGCGATGCACAGGAGTTACTTCTGGTTCATGCACTCAGGAATTACTCCTGGCGGTGCTCAGGGGACCATATGGGATGCTGGGAATCGAACCTAGGTTGGCTGCGTGCAAGGCAAACGCCCTACCCGCTGTGCTATTGCTCCAGCCTAAGATTTCTAGGTAGTAAAATTTAGACACAGAATGAGAAATTTCATGAATAAAAAACCTAAGGAATTTTTAAAATGCAGGTATATAAATATACATTTTTTTAAAAAGGGAAAGGAAGTAAGATAGTCAGATTTATATTTTGTTAATTTTATTCTTAGTGAAGTGGAGATGTTTCCCAGTTCCGCTAGAGTCATCCTTGTTCCATGCTCTTCCTAATTCCTGCTGCCGGAGAAAATCCACTTCTCCAGAAATTACACCAAATGCTGATGCTTGTGATGAAAAGACAAAAGCACCTGGAAAAGCACTTGACCAGCTCTTCTCTTCAGAACAGCAAACTTCCATCTTGCATGTACTGAATACAGCATCTAATAAAGAACTTGAAGCTTTCAGGCTGCTTCGTGGAAGAAAGTCTACCAACATTGTAGCACACAGAGAAAAGTTTGGGCCATTTCAGAATTTGGAGAGTTTAATGAATGTGCCTTTGTTCCAGTATAAAACTACCGTTCAAGTGTGTAACTCCATTCTTTGTCCAGGGACTAGAGGAAAGAAAAAACAGTCACAGGAAAACCGACTCTTGAAAAAGCTCATCAAGCCTGAGATAGAATTAGAAAGACTTAAGGTATGTCCTTTAACTTAGTGTTTGTTAAATTCCCTAAACAGGTAACAGGGCCAGAAATGTAGCTCAGCAATACAGTCTCTGTCTTACATGTATGAGACCTGGGGTTCAGTCCCAACAATGAGAAAAAAATTTTGAGAACCTATTCTGCAGAACACTGTTCTGAGCACCAAGACAACCAGTGGTTCTTCAGGCAACTTACATTTTAGTTGGTGGATACAGACCTGCATATACAAATACGTAACAAATATACAAAGCAGAATGTGATTAAAACCAAAGAATGAGATATAAGTAAAATCACAGTTTTAAGGAGGGAGAACTGTGGGCTTTGACTGTTGGGGAATTTTACTCAACCTGGATCTTGAAGGGGGATAATCAGGCTTGCTGGGGCAGAACAGGATTCCAGGACGTAAAAACAGTAAATGCAGAGAAGAAGGCCTGTAACAGTCCTGTTTACAAGGAACGTTGAGATGTTTGGCTGTGCTGAGGGTCATGTTGGGAATAAAAAGAAATAAGGATGTAAAGATGGGTTCTGGCTGAGGAATCTTTCCAGAAGTATTTAAAGTTCTTTTAGTTTTGGGGGTCACATCCAGCAGTGTTTAGGGACTGCTCCTGGCAGTGCTTGGGGATCATGTGTATGTTGAGAACAAGGGCCAGCCATAAGCAAGGAAGCAAGTACTATCTCTCTGGCTTTAAAAACCACTTTTAAAGCAAATTTCCCCCCAGTGGTGTTTTTATTTAAAAACAGTTAAATGACTTGACACATCAAATATTAAACCCTGGAGGAACTTAAGTCCTGTGTAACATTGATAATTATTGATTAGTCTCAGTTTTGAGGGAAAGACGTTTCGGAAACATGATGAAAGCTTTAGATCCTCTTTAGGGTGGGTGGTGTATTGTAATTTAATTTTTGTTTGTTTGTTTTTGTTTGGGCGCCCAAACCCAGTGGTCAGGTCTTACTCGTGGCCCTACACTTAGGGATTACCTTTTGTCATGCCCAGTGGACCAAATAGGTACTGGGGATTGAACCCAAATCAGCTGCATGCAAGGCAAACACTCTTCCTACTGTATTCTCTCTGGGCCCCAGTTTTATTATCGTTTTTTTTTTTCCTTTTTGGGTCACACCCGGCAATGCTCAGGGATTTCTCCTGGCTCTGCACTCAGGAATTACTCCTGGTGGTGCTCGGGGAACCATATGGGATGCTGGGAATCAAACCCAAGTTGGCTGCATGCAAGGCAAATGCCTTACCCGCTGTGATGTTGCTCCAGCCCCTTTATTATGGTTTTATACACATAACACATGTAGAGTGTTGCTTATGTTTTCAAGGACTTCCTAATTGCATCCACAATATCCAACTGGAGCTCCTGCTGCTGCAGTTGATCTATAACTTAACTGAATCAAACTTTTCAGAGAATTGGAGTTTCATTCAAAGTTAGATTGAAATGACTCTTTTCACTCAGGCTCTAGTGAAATTGATCTTACTTAGAGAGTTGGCTTTTCAAGTCAGTTTTATTATTGGGAAAGCCCCACAGGAGGAGGCCTTGAGGAAAATGTTGCATCTGAGGTACTGTATACAGATTTTTCCAGTAATCTTTATGCACAATGAATTTTGAATCACTATCACTGTATCACTGTCATCCCATTAAATCATTTACCTAAAAAAAACCCCATTATTTTGTAGATGTGTTCATAGCCTAACTATTCTATCTTAAAAATATTTATTTCTGCAAGCCTTCAGCATGCTGGGATCTGAAGTGAACCTGTGCATTCCTACAGTGCTTGCAAGAACAATGAAATGGTTTGAGGTCTTGCCCTGATCCATCCAGAGTAAGGTTATAGAAAGTTCAGACAAATGAAAAATACATATATAATATATATTTGGAGCTGGAGAAATAGTACAGCAGGTAAGGTACTTGCCTTCCACAGAGCTGACCGGGTAGTATGCCCTCGCCCCGCAAAGACGTTTATTTATTTCTTAGCATTGAACCTACACACTAGTTTTACTCCACTCCTAAGTATAAGATGCCAGGTAGGTATCTGGGTGAAATAAGCTTATCCTTTTCTCTTCTCTCCAGCATCGATGTTCTGTGGTGGCATTTCCTAATACTCTATAGCAATCTTCCCTGCGTCACAGCAGCTGGCATAGTACCTGGCAACACTTTCCTTTTTTGATCCTGACAAAGAATAAAATCTCTTTGCCTTCAACTGATTGCCACTGGTTACTATTTAATAATTACTCTTGCATTTCTTTAATCATTCTGTTCCAGGGGCCAGGAGATAGCTCAGAGGGCAAGGATGCAAGCTTTGCATGTGGTTCCAGTCCCCAGCATGGTCCATTGTTATAGATGGGCGCTAACCCTGAGCACCAAGCCGAGAGTAGCCCCTAGCATGACAGAACATGCCCACAATGAAGCAATTCTTGGCTCATAAACTCTACATACAAGTCTATTATATAAGCTGATTTGACATTTTGACTTGTAGCTTAAAGTTTATATTAGTTGAGATGTTTACACTCCTAGAGCTTAGCCATAGTACAGTGGGGAGGGTGTTTGCCTTGCACACAGCTGACTTGGTTTGATCCCTGGCATCCCATATGACCCCCTGAGCATTGCCAGGAGTAATTCCTGAGCACAGAGCCAGGAGTAAACTCTGAGCATCACTAAGTGTGGTGCCCCCCAAACCCCCCCAAAAATGTTTACATTCATAAGTAAACTGGCCTTTCTGTTTTAGGCAATCAATAGTATTGTATCCATTGTTTTTGGTACTCGAAAAATTGCCTGGGCTCACCTTGATCGGAAATTATCAGTTTTGGACTGGCAGCAAAATGAATGTTGCCGACTGGTTAAAGGAACATACCCTACATCGAACTACTTTGAAAAGGTAAGGCAGTTGCATCTTCAATTCCTACCTGTCCTTGCTTATGTTTAATCTTCTAGTCCCAAAAGGAATGTAATAAAATAAGGATGGACTTTTTATGGTATTTACTACCCTTCTCTATTATGTTTTCCATCATCCTTAACTTTTGAAAACAGAATCTTTGTTTAGTTCAAGAAAAGCCATACATGGTATAGTGAGACAGTACAGCAGGGAATGCTTTTGCTTTGAATGCAGTGAACTTGCATTCTGAGTCTATTATATAAGCACCGCATATAGTACCCAGAGCTCTGCCAGGAGTAAGCCCTGAGCACTGCCCAAAACAAAAAGAGAAATGCAGAAATATGGAAGGCAGAAACTGTGTGTGTGGTGAAAGGGGACTCATTCTTCTGTTGCATGGGGCTGATCACTTTCTCCAACACCTTTTTGTACTATTAAACTTGTTTTAAGCTGGTTGCCTACGTGAGGCTGGAGTGATAGTAAAGTGCTGGCCTTGCATGTGGCTGAGGCAGGTTCAGTCTTCGGCATCCCATATGGTCCTCTCACCACTTCCAGGAATAACTCCTGAGTATCACCAGGTATGGCCCAAAAACAATAACAAAAAAAATTGGTTGCCTGTATTAGCTTTGCTTCTGGGCTTTCAACTCTGTTTTGTTGATCTCCGCATTTTTATTCCAAACGTAGGCTGTTTTAAAAGCTGTTGGGGGGTTTTGTTTGTTTTTGGGCCACACTAGCAGTACTCTTGCCTCTGCACGCAGGAATCACTCTTGGTAGTGCTTAGGGGACCATGTAGGATGATGTGGATTGAACCTGGGTTGGCCACTTGCAAAGCAATCACCTTACCCACTGTACTGTCTCTCCTGCCCCTTAAGACTGTTGCTTTGCAGTATAATTTGAATGCAGGGAGCTTAATGTCTCCATTTTTGTTTTCTCAGGTAGTTTCGGTTATCTGCAGAGGGGTGTCAGTGGGGAATTCAAAAATTTTGGGGGGTTGTTGGGCCACATCTGATTGGTGCTCAGGGGCCATTCTTGGGTCTGTGCTTTAGGGATCACTCCAGCTCAGGGGATTTAACTGGATGAACCATGTGCAAGGCAAGCCCCTTGCCTTCTCTATTATCTCTCTGGTCTGGTTTTCTTAAAAGTTCATATTCTTCACATTGTCTAATCCCAAAGCCAGTGAAGACTGCAAAAAAATAGGAAACATTTATAGACGAAGAAGCTGGCCAGGGAACTGGACCTGAAGACTAAATGGCTTGTCATAGTTCAGCTTCTTTCTTATAGAACAGGACCAGAAATCAGCTATTCTGATTCTCCCTAAAATGCTTGCCCAGTTAGAAATTGTCAAAAGCACTATAATGCAAGTTTTACAGTTGTTTTTTTTTTTTTTTTAAATAGAAATGGGTCAGATGGGCGGCCCAAATAATCAAACTTAATTTGTTTTTGTGTGTCTTTAGATTTCTTCCATCATTACAAAGATGCCTAGAGCGGACTTTTATATTCTGGAAAAAATCGGAATTTCCATTCAGAACTCAACACTGTTCCCTATCTTATTACACTTTCATATCATGGAAGCCATGCTGTACGCCTTATTAAACAAGACTTTTGCGCAGGACGGCCAGCAGCAAGTGCTGAGCATGAACCGGAATGCAGTGGGGAAGCACTTTGAACTGATGGTGGGTGACACCCGAACCAGCGGGAAAGAAATAGTGAAAAAGTTCCTCTCGGAGTCTGTGCTGAGCGCAGAGCCCCGGGTGTCCTTCCCCTCAGACAAGATCGTGCGCTACAGACAGCTGTTCTCATCTACTGAGCACAACCGAGTGGAAGAGGTGTATGATTCACTCTTACAAGCAGTTGCCTTTTTTGAATTGGTAGTTTTTGACGCTGAACCTTAAAATATTCTGAAGTTAACGTATTATTACCTGGTTTAATGTTGTATTACATCACTTTTTATTTGTGAATCCTGCAGTTAAGAATCCCGGCCAGGGATGGAGCTCAGAAATGGAGCACGTGTATTTCATGCATCAGGCTCCAGGTTCAATCTCTGGCACTGCTGAAGTGAAATAGTCATAGAGTCAAGTTCTGAGTGAGTGGAGAAAGCATGCAAAAATGGTTTCTTTGCTTTTTGGGTCACACATGGTGATGCCTAGGGGTTACTCCTGGCTCTGCACTCAGGAATCACTCCTGGCAGTGTTTGGGGGACCAGATGGGATGCCAGGTATCAAACCCGGGTCAGCCACATGCAAAGAAAATGCCCTATCTGCTGTACTATTGTTCTGGCCCTGCTGAAATGTTAATGCTTAACACTTAAACGCTTCAAGTCAGACTTCCGGCTGTTGACAGTGGGCAGGGTGTTTGCCTTGCATAAGGACAATCCAGCATCAATCCCTGCATCTCATATGGTTCCCTGAGCACCGCTAGAGGTGATTCTTGAGTGCAGAGCAAGGGGTACCTTAGAGTACTGCCAGGTGTGGGCCAAAACAAACAGAAAGAATAAAGTGAAATATAATTAAAACTCAGCTGTGGAATCCTGTCATTTTGGTGGTGACAGTGGCATTTTCTAATTATGTGTATAGAATGTACATTGATGCAAAAAGTGATTCCAGTCAAGCCTATAACAAGCAAGCTTTGTGTGTGTGTGTGTGTGTGTGTGTGTGTGTGCGTGCGCACGCACACATGCTCAATTGAGTGCATTGTGCATCCACTGCATGCGCAAGTGTGTGTACACATTTGTGCATCTATCATCCCAAGCAATGTTCAGAGGACCCAGGGGCAGAGATCTCAAGGTTTCGGCCTGGCAATGAGGTACTACTTGGGCCTAGTGCTAGGGGCCACCAGGGCTACAGTTGGGGATGCTGCTGTGTCAGGGACTAAACTCGGGGCCTTTGCGTGCCAGTCATGTCCTCTAGGTAACTCCACAACCTATAGGTCTTTTCTGACTGAAACATTGAGAAAAATAGCTCACCCTCTTGTCCACTCCATTTACATTACATTTGTCTTAATTCAGACCCTCAACTCACTTCGAATCCCTTTAATAGTAAAATATTTGTTTCTTTAAAAGACATTGGGGGCAGGGGCAGAACACAAAGAGATAATTTAGTGAGTAAGGTACTCGCCTTGCACACAGCTGACATGGGTTTATCCCTGGCATCCCACATGCTGCCAGGAGTGGGATGAGCCCACCAGGAATGATCCTTAAGCACTCACAAGTGTGGAGCCCTGCCACCCCGAGAAAGAGGTTCTATTTGGGGGGCTGGAAAGATAGTACAGTGATAAGTGTATTTGCCTTACGTGTGGCCAACTGGGGTTTGGTTCCCCATTACTCCATATGATCCCCTGAGTTCTGCCAGGAGTGATCCTTGAGTGCAATCAGGAGTAATCCCCAAGCACTGCCAGGTATGGCCCATAATAACAAAAACCTAAAAAGTAAAAGACATGGAGCTAGAGAGATAGTGCAGCAGGCATTTCACTTACCTTGAACGCAGGTGATCTGGGGTTCAATTCATAAGGGCCCCGGGCATCACCCGGAGTGATCTCTGAGCATAAGCCAGGAGTAAGTCCTGAATACTTCTGAGTATGGCTCCAAAACCAAAACAAATGAAATATATAGAGAATACATGGAATGGTAGAGACGAGAGAAAGCATCCAGGTAAAGTGATTGCACACGCCCAACCCAGGTTTGATCCTTGACATCCCATGTGGTCCCCTAGGTCCTACCAAGGATGATCCCTGAACACTGCTGGGTGTGGCCCCAAAGCCAAAAACAACAGAAACTTTCCAGCCGGACTGCTGCTAGGTTTGTGTGAGCACAACTGAAGAAATGCAGCCCTGGCCAGCACCATGGCTAAGTGTGCGGCACTGTGAACTGGTGCACAGCTCCTGCTGAGCACTAGGTGTGTGCCAGCTTGCAGCCCCACCCCACCCCCCGCCCAGGGGCCCCAAAATAAGAAGAAAGGATGGGGGAGGGGAGTGATAGGAATATGACTTCCCCCAAATTATGCTAAATTTTAAAAGAAGGGTTACTGAGGAGAGTATCTGTTTGTCCTTGCTTGTTCATGGGGGTGTTCAGGGCCTGTTCCTGGCACCGTGCTCAGGAGTGACCCCTGGTGCTCAGGATACCATACACAGTGCTAGAGAACAAACCAGGGTTTTGAGCTAAGTGCCACAAGCAAGCCAAGGTCTTAGGGCCCCTGCTGTCTCTGTTTATTTTTTCTTTTGTATTGGGGAGGGGGGTTGGCCACACCTGTTAGTATTTAGGGAGACCAGGTGGTGCCAGGAATCAAACCCGGGGCATTCACATGCAGGAATTGCTGCCCTTATTTCCTGACATATGTATTTTTTGAACATTTAAAATTCTGTGGGGGGCCGGAGCGATAGTACAGCAGGTAGGGTGTTTGCTGTGCACACGGCCGACCCGGGTTCAATATCCGGCATCCCATATGGTCCCCCAAGCACCGCCAGGAGTAATTCCTAAGTGCAGAGCCAGCAGTAACCCCTGAACATCGTCGGGTATGACCCAAAAAGAAAAAAAAATTCTATGGTACGATATGCCATAGAAATGCCTCCAGACCCCATGCCAAGCTGTCTCATCCGGGGCAACCTGGAGTGGGGTGGGTGAGTTCTCCTCCCCATCCCAATAGAGCTCCAGCAGCCAAAAACTTCCAGAACTCAATGACCGCCATGCTCACAGCTGATCTCCACAGGCTCAGACCAGCCTCACCTATGAGTGAATCTGCTGAAAAACCCAGGAAGGAATGTGGAACTTGTGAATAAAATCTCCAGGTTCACACAGCTGGGAACAGGTGACCTCCCTCCATCTCCCTATGTTTCTGTAGCCTGGCAGTCACTCCCAGGAACTGCCTCTCTGGTGCCATACAATCTCATTAATGGCCATGATCCGGAGACTCAGAAATATGGAGCTGGAGTGATAGTACAGCTACCTGTTTGCCTTGCACGTGGCCAACCTGGGTTGGATCCCCAGCATCCCTTGTGATCCCCCCAGCACTGCCAGGAGTAATTCCTGAGTCCATAGCCGGGATTAACCCCTGAGCATCGCTGGGTGTGACCCAAAAGCCAAAAAAAAAAAAAAAAAAAAACCCCAAAAAACTAAGAGACTCAAATAAATCTCTCGGAAGAGACCAACACAGAACAATATGCCATAGAGATGCCTCTGAACCTCAAAGTCAGCATCCAGTTTAAAACAAAATTAATAATTTAATTCAGCTGTATAACAATATTTAAAATTTTAGAATCGCGGGGCTGGAGCGACAGCACAGCGGGTAGGGCGTTTGCCTTGCACGCAGTCAAGATGGCTGATACAGGTTCGATTCCCAGCATCCCATACGGTCCCCCAAGCACCGCCAGGAGTGATTCCTGAGTGCATGAGCCAGGAGTAACCCCTGAGCATCGCTGGGTGTGACCCAAAAAGCAAAAAAAAAAAAATTTTTAGAATCGCTGGAGCACATGGCTGGGAACATCTTATTCTTATACAAGGGCTTTTGGCTCAAGGATGAAATACAACAACCTTCACATAAAATAAATAAATAAAATAAAATTTTATGGTGTTATTTTACTTGGTTTTTCAATCGAAATAACTCTAGTAAATTCTAATAAAAGAACAAACGTAAAGATAAGTATAAATAGTGGAAATTCTTATTTAAAAAAAAATGCTTCAAGGCTGGAGAAAAGAGTACAGGGGTTAAAGTGCTTTCTTTGCACATGGCCAACCCTGGTTAAGATCCCTAGCACCACCAGAAATGATCCTTAAGCATAAACCCAGGAGTAATCCCTGAGCACCACTGGGTATAACCCCCAAATCTGAAAAAATAAGTGCTTCAGAAAAAAATTGGCATACATAGCGGTGCTCAGGAATCACTCCTGGTGGTCTTAGGGGACCATATGCAGTACCAGAAATCCAATCCAGGGTGGCCATATGTAAGGCAAGTGCCTTCTCTGCTGTACTATCTCTCCACCCCAGAAGATCATATTTGCTTTTTTATAGAGATGAAATTAGTAAGTCTAAATCCAAACTTGTATAAGATCCATTTGTATCCAGTTGATTACATCAAAAACTTCTGTTTGGGGCTGGAGAGATAGCACAGCAGGTAGGGCGTTTGCCTTGTACGCGGCCAACCCGGGTTCTATTCCCAGCATCCCATATGGTCCCCTGAGCACCGCGAGGAGTAACTCCTGAGTGCAGAGCCAGGAGTAACCCCTGTGCACCGCCAGGTGTGACCCAAAAAGAAAAACAAAAAACAAAAAACAAAAAAACCCTTCTGTTTAAATACTGCATAAAACACTTTAGCCTTTAATTAAATCAGTACGAGAAAAGTTTGAACAAATAAGAGTTAATATCTTCATACACATTTATATACATATATATCTTCAGCTGTACAAAGTCAGGATCCTTACCTTTGGAGTTGAAATTATAATTCACCAGATAATGTAACAGAATATTTATATATAAAAATCTTGAAATAGGAAATCATTTTGATAGACTTAATTAACTGATTAAAAATGATATTAAGTGAAACCTGATGTTTTAAAATGTTATGACTAAAAATATACATTTTCTCCAAACCCATAGCCTTAAGTGGAAAAAAGCTATTACATAGAAACCCTTGATTAGAATTCTTCTTAGTGAATGGCAGTTTGTCAAAATAGATATATTAATATCATCAATATCTTTATGAAATAAAATATTAATGATATGAAAATCCAAGAAGTGAAATGTACAAAATAGCTCTACAAGACAGCTCATTGGAGTTGGCAAAATATACATGATACATAGTAACTAAAACAGTTTATAAAAATATTATTAAATTCATAATTTTAATTTCATTTTGTCAACAAAATCAGTGGCAAAATATGCTGGGGAATATGACAGAAAAAATCGTATCAGACAAATTTTTCTTTCAGGGAGCGAGGGAAGGGTCTGGGCCACTCTTGGCAGTATTCAATGGCTATTCCTGGCTTTTTTACTTAGGTGTGACCCCGGGAAATGCTCAGGGGAGCATCTGTGTCTCTGGGGATGGAACTGGAGTCAGCAGCAGGCAAGACAAGCACCTGAATGAGTCCCTGTACTATCTCTCCAGGATGATCTTTTTAAAAAAATTAAGCATAATTTACTTACTAGTCAGTTTTCTTATGTATTATATATGCACTTTTGTATTTTTATACTATACAAATATATTAAGGAGGGGCTGGAGCAATAGTACAGTGAATAGGGCATTTGCCCTCCATGTGGCTGATTGGGTTCGATCCCTGGCATACCTTATGGTCCCCTGAGCACAACCAGGAGTAATTCCTGAGTGCAGAGCCAAGAGTAACTCCTGAGCGTGATTGTGTGTGCCTCCCACCCCACCAAAAAAAATGATTAATGAAAATTCTCACCTCACTGATTCATATTTACAACTTGATGGTACTAAAACTTGATTGGAGAGAAGTAGATTAAAGATAGCAGGAAAAGGGGGAAATTATGGGTTACTTTAGTATGGAAACATCTTTAGAAATACCTAAGTGAACACTTTCTAGAATCAGCTCACTCACATACAAAAATACTCCAGTAATGTTAAATCAGACCATAGTAAAAATTCAGGGGGGGGGAAAAAAACACTAAAACACAATAATAAATACAATATGTAATTCAATTTTTTCATTTAAATACTTGCATACTAATAAAAATATAGTCTGTTTTAAATGTACATTGAGAAATTAAAACTCCCCCATGAAAATCAATATAAAAATGTATAAAACATCATAATCTGTACAAGGCATTATTAATGTAAAATTATTAAGGAAAGCCAGCTGCCAGGGTATTCAAAGTCTCTTTTGAAAGGTTAAGATGAATTCCTTCAAGATAGTGCAGAAACCTATCAAAATTACAAAAAAAAATTATTTAGTATTTTCATCAGATGAGAATAGTTATTAATCTTGAGATAGCCATTTGAAAGGTTACGCTTTACCTTCTTTTACTTTTGCCTTGTTCTTTCAGCTTCTCAGTCTGACAAATGTTTCGAAGAGTTGGCAAATAGTCAGTTACACTAGCTTGTCTATTACCCAGGTTCAGAAGAGATCGGCTAGAAAATACACTTTTAATGACAGCTATTCTCTTCCAAGCGTTGCTGAAATTAAAAGCAGGACATAACATTTTTATTGTAATTTGCAAAAAAATACAAAAATCGCAAACACAGTCCGCATTTGGTTCTTCCTTCTCTCTGCTTCTAATCTAGACTGGACTAAGGAGATTACAGACTAATTTATATACCAACAAACCAAAAAATGTTTTAACAGCTACCTGTTTTCTACCACGACAAATCCAAACCCCATCTCTATCACTCCAAGTCTCCCAAATCTATCACAACCTAATATCTCATTTTTTCACCAAGGAATTAATCAGTCTGGTCTCCTTAACAGGCTACAGTAAAAGCCATACTACTAATATTGTGGTCTTACCATTATCAAAAGTCCAGCATTTCAAAATTACTAAGAAAAACAGCAATGATTCTTTGTGTTTTGGGTCACACATGGCTGTACTCAGGAATTACTCCTAGCTCTTTGCTTAGGGATCATTCCTGGCAGGGCTTGGAGGACTACAATGGGGGTGTCAGGGATTGAATATGGGTCGGCCATGCAAGACAGTCATACTATCTGCTGTACTATCTCTCCAGCTCCAAAAAGAGTAATCATTTTCCCTTAAGCATTTAGTAGTAAAAAATAAATAAAGGCAAAAGGAAGGAACACTTACTCTAAATTAGCTGCTGAATGGTTGAAATACACATTGTTCCGCTTTTGAGAAACATAACTTGTAAGATCTTCAGTTGGATCACTTCCTAATTTCTTGCAAGCATTCAAGGTTTCTAGTGCTTTTGAAAGAGTAGAAGAACATTTGGTAAAGCTGAGAGCTTGTACAGCTGCTTTTAATTCCCCAGAGTTTTGAGAAGTCCACCCATCATTTTTCTCAAGCCTGCACTCATCACAAAGGCCACTTTTAACCTTTCCATTTGTCCAGCTAAAGTCATCTTTACCAAATTCCTTCTGTTCCCTTACATCAGTCAAAAGGGCATCTAAGAAGGACATATTATCCATAAACTCAGTGAGAGAATTTAAACAGTGCGAAACAAGGGCAGAACTTCTTTTTTCTGCCACTGTTTTAGGAGGACAAGGAAGTGATTCCATATTCAACTCTAAAGATTTGTTCTGTTTCTTTGTCTCTGGATTGCTTTCCTTGTCTTGGGCTTCGTTCTCTTCTGAATTGCAGGCAGGGGTTATGCTGCTCAGTTCATCAGAAAAATCCAATCCTGTGTCAATTAAGTCACTATCATCCAAAGTTATGATCTTTTTCTTATGTTTCTTTTTCTGCGTTTTTTTCGATAGCTGTCCCTCTTCAGTATGCTTCCTTGCAAGACATTTTGCATTATTCGTTGCTGCACTGGTGTCCACATTTACTGAAGGACCAGAAAGGTTTTCCAATTCAGGAATGATACCAACAGGTAAAGGTAGAATGAACTCAAGATTACTATGTAAGAAATCTACTTTCTGTATTTGGAATTCTGTAAGAAGCTGGATGAATTTATGCCATTCTTCCTTTGTTCTAACTGTGTGCTGAAAAACAATTTTGGGGAAAAAAAGGTTATGAAGGCATATAATTTTTAAATATTTTTCTACACATGCAAATACAATGTCATTCCTATTCTTCCTTCAAAGTAATGATTTTGTAGCTCTTAATGATTGTAAGGTCTTCCGCTGGATCACTTCCGACTTTCTTGCAAGCATTTAAGGTTTCCAATGCTTTTGAAAGAGTAGAACAACATTTGGTAAAGCTGAGAGTTTCTACAGCTGTTTTTAATTCCCCAGAACTTTGAGAAGTACACCCATCATTTCTCTCAAGCTTATACTTATCACGAAGACCACTTTGAACCTTTCCATTTGTCCAGCTAAGGCATTTAAATTATAATTAGTTCTAATTTTATTAACCTATCCTCCCTTAATATATCAAAATAGACTGAGTCTAAAAATTAAGAAAATCTGACTTGAAGTGATAGAACAGAGGGTAAAGTGCTTGCCTTGGTTCCCTGAGCCCTGCCAGGAGTGAGTCCTAATTGCAGAGCCAAGAGTAAGTCCAGAACAAATACAGGTATGCCTCCCGCCCCACTGATCCTGACCCCCACAAAAAAAATTAAAACTGAGGGATAAGAAAAGAGTACAAAGGATAGGACACTTGCTTTGCACGTGGCAAGCCCCAGCTTTCAATCCTAATCATCACATCTGGCCTCCCAAACATCAGTCAAAAGAAGTAATCTCTGAGCACAGAGCCAGGAGTAAGCCTTAGGCATGCCAGATGTGGTCCCAAAATAAAACAAAACACACACCAAAATATAAAATTATTCTTATTTGAAATAGACTTCCAAGTCCTATTCTAATTCCCATAATAGACATTTAAAGCAATATCCAAGAAAACTGGAGTCTAAAGGCACCATGTATTAAAACCACAAATCTGAAGCCTGTACAAATTTTAGGCAAATTTAAGGTAACCTAGGAAAAGACAGAAAAGTGTTGAAAGGATGAAAAAGACCTTAAATTTAATATTCCAAATCAGACACTGGAAATACCTTTAAAAATGAAAACAAGTCTTCAGATGGGGAAAAGATGTTCTTCAGGCCAAACACAGTTTCAGCACAGCCTGTGGCACATTTAGGAAGGTCTGAAGGAGTCCTCTGACTATTTTTAGAGTTATTTTTAGAAAAAGGGTCATCGTTGGAGCAAACAAGCTGTACATTTGTATTTTCTCCTACAAAATAAATAAAAGAAAATCCTATCTATCCAAATTTTAACTAATTATATAGTAGGCAAACATTTAAACATCATTCGACATCTCTTGGACCCTCATATACCCTCTCATATACCCTTTCCTTGTTTTTCTCCACTTAAGTATATAATTCATTAAGATGATTTAATACAGGGGCTAGAGCAATAGCACAGCGGGTAGGGCATTTGCCTTGCACGCGGCCGACCCAAGTTTGATTCCCAGCATCCCATATGGTCCCCTCAGCACCGCCAGGAGTAATTCCTGAGTGGAGAGCCACTGTGAGGGGTTACAGGAGTAACCCCTGTGTATTGACGGGTGTGACCAAAAAAGAAAGAAAAAGAAAGATTATTTAATACAAACATTACGTCAAATTTACACTGGTAAAATGGGGTAGTGATGAGGAACTTACAAGTCAATTGAAAAAAATGCCTCGCATGCATGACGTACCTGCTCCACACTTAAAGATAAGATATGGACCCAACTGATATACCAAGAGTAGTACCCCACATTTGATGGGGGTAAAGTAGAAGGCAACCAATCTTGATCTTAATACACACACACACACACACACACACACACACGCACACACACAGAGATAGATATAAGCACACAAAGCTCAACCTGTAACAACATGTTAGTGATATTCTATACAAGGGTTTTATGGCTCCAAAGTGAGACACAATTTTCACACACTTTCCTCTACGGAAACCTTTTTGGATCATTTTAGCAATACAAAACAAATTACTTAACATCTGCCTTTGGGACAGGCTGGGTAGTGGTGAGAAAATTCAAAATAATGGTGGTGGGATTGGTGTTGAAATACTGAATGTAATAAATTATTGTGAACAACTTTATAAAAATAAAATTTAAAAAAAAAAGATAAGAGGCTGGAGCGATAGTACAGCGAGTAGGGCGTTGGCCTCGCACGCGGCTGACCCGGGTTCAATTCCCAGCATCCTATATGGTCCCCTGAGCACTGCCACGAGTAATTCCTGAGTGCAGAGCCAGGAGTAATCCCTGTGCATCACCAGGTGTGACCCAAAAAGAAAAAAAAAAGATAAGGGTCCATGTGGCTTAGTAGCAGAGTACCTGCCTTGCATCCTGAACCTCTAGTTTAATATTTAGTGATCAAAATGCAAGCACTTCAACTAAGCAAATCATAATCACAATAACCGCTTAAAAATGTATATCCCCAGACCAGAGAGATAGATCAGTGCACTGTGCACGCTGCTCAGGACAGCACCTAGGACTGCACCCTTGTTGGTAGTAGTACTGGGGATAAATCCAGGGCCTTAAATGATTGTGCTGCATACGTGTTCATAGCAGACTCTGTCAGACTAACCCTCCCTGGTAACTGAGGTGGACTGAGTGGAAAGTGGAAGCTCTCTGGCTCCCCACTTTACCCAAGCCAACACTCTGTAAGTCAGCCAGGAGTCAGGTGACCTGTAACAGAATCCCAGCCACTCACTTCTCCCTCCTGCAACTTTTCTCTGATCTTACCAATTCATCTTCTGCTGGCTCCGGTCAGAGCCTCAAGAAGACGGGTAATATACTCCCATGGCTTCCAATCCCCTCCAATAGTACTGCAATCCCTAGAAACTCAGAGGCAACAACCATCTGCTCCATAGAGCCTAAACGGACATTTATATGCTGCCTTTAGTTACTCTCTGTCTAGCCTGATCTATCTAACCTTTCCCTCTTTAGGCTACACCTGGCAATGCTCAGGGGTTACTCTTGGCTCTAGACTCAGGAATTACTCCTGGCAGTGCTCGGGCAACCATCTGGGATGCCAAGGATTGAATCCAAGTAGGCTGCATGCCTGGCCCCTTTTGCTTACTATTCCAACACGTAATTAGAATGGTCTTTATATTCTTCTGTAGCAGATAGGTGGCAGGAGGGTCCCAGGCAATTCTTTTTTTCCTTTAGTAATGAAGTCACTTAATAACTAGCTCTGAAGTTGTCCAGCATCAGGAAAGTTAGAACCCTTTGAGATGCAGATACTAATTAAGCTCTCTGGAGAAACTGAGGCACCAAATAGAGAAAGGTGGATCCTTCAGAAAAGGAACTCAAAGAGAAACTAAAGACCATGATAAAAATATAAAAAGCCCAGGGTCAGAACAACAGTACAGCGGGTAGGGGTCTGCCTTGCATGTGTTCAATAATAAATAAAAAGACCATCAAGAATCCAAGAAACTTCCCCTCTTACCCAGGCAAGGGCAGTCTGAGAAAAGCTCTAGGATAAAACCACCTCTGTAAAGGCACACGGGCAGCATTCTCTAGCACCAGCAACTCAGCCTGAGATGCATCACGCCTTTATTTGACTTGATGTCGCATTCTCTAACCTGGGGATCCCCACATTTCAATTTAAGTTGCATACTCTTGACTCTTTTCCCTCTGAAGGAACCCATGTTCCTTTTGAACACCAACAAGATAACTGGATGTTGAAATGTTTATAATCTTCCAAATCTTTTGGTGCTCCAAACCTTTTTTTGTTGTTTTTCTGGGGCCACACCAGGCAATGCTCAGGGCTTACTCCTGACTTGGTACTCAGGAATCACTCCTGGAGTCACTCCTGGAGGGCTCAGGCAAGCACTATACCCGCTGTAATCTTTCTCCAGTCCCAGTATATTTTTAACATAGTCTTTGTATAGAAATTTCTTTTACAACAGATAAACTTACGACAAAGAAATAGTGGTCTTTCTTCAAAAAATCCACCTCCACTTCTGATCCAGAATTGTAAGTAGAGGATACTTTTTCTTATATCACAAGTATTCGCAGTTAAAAACGTAACAAAGTCTTTTACATCTGTTCTAAAATTTTCAGTCAAGCAAATCATCTGTAGGTAGCTGGCAACATTAAGCTGACAGAGAAAGGGGAAGAGAGAAAGGGAGAATTTAGAGGTTCAGAAACATATCAAAACACATTTCCTAAAAGTAAAAGTTTTTAGATACTCAGATTTCAAATTTTGCTGAATTTTGTTGATTATTAAGGTACCCCAAAGAGGTGGAGGGAATGAAGCGATAGTACAGTGGGCAGCGTATCTGCGTTGTACAAAGCCAATTTGGGTTTGAAACCTTGGCATCCCATATGGTCTCCCCCGCCGGCACTGTCAGGAATGATTCCTAAGCACAGGGCCATAAGTAAACTCTGAGCATCCCAGGGTATGGCCCCTAAACCAGAAAGTAAAATAAAACTGCAAGGAAACTTTAATAGGTGATTCTCCAACCCGAACCCCGAGGGAGGCCACATGCAATAGTGCTCTGGAGCTACTCCTGGCTCTGTGTTCAAAGAATTCTCCTGGAGGGGCCAAGGGACCATTCACAGTGCCAAGGATTGGCTACTTTTGAGGCAAGCGCCCCACCCCTGTATTATCTCTCTGGGCTCTACCAACCACCTATGGTGACTGCAGAATGAACACTTTTTGTTGGGGGGAGGAGGGGCTGTGCATTATCAGACGAGATCGGGCGCATTCAGGGTGGTATGGCCGTAGACAATATGGGCTGAAGCGATATGTGGTATGGGCTGAAGTGATAGCACAGCGGTAGGGAGTATGCCTTGCACTCAGCCAGGTCAAGCCGGGTTCGATTCCTTTGCCCCTCTTGGAGAGCCCAGCAAGCTACCGAGAATATCTCGCCCGTGTGGCAAAGCCTAGCAAGCTACCCACGATGTATTCGATATGCCAAATACAGTAACAAGTCTCAAAATGGCGATATTACTGGTCCCGCTCCAGCAAATCAATGAACAATGGGTGGACAGTGTTTGACAGTGTGCATTATCAGAGGCCACACGTAGGTGCTGTTCCAGGGCTTTTTAGACTTTCTCTAAAACTCAAAAAGTTAAAAAAAAAATCCTCAGTAACATTTTAAATGTTTAACAAATATCAAGGTAACCCAACTTCATTTATATCTAACTTATGATCCTCAAAATTCAAAACTTACCAATGAAGGAGTGCTGAAATTAATTTCTTCAAAATAGCCATCAAACATTAATTTAAATGTTGGATCTGTAAGAAAAAAAACATTTTAAAAAACATTAACATTATGAAAATAACTGATTCTGCATTTCAACTGTAATAAGAAAGAAACTAACCTGCAAAGTCCTCATGTGCAAAGAAAGGCAAGCACCTTACCTGTTGTACTTTTCTCTCTGGCTCTGAAATTTTTTTCTTTTTGCATGGGGGTTGGGAGGAGACTAATGCCATGAACAGTAGAAACAAGGGCCAAGAGGACTGGTCCATCGTTGGAGGCTTGCCACAAGTGGGGAGTGGGTGGGGGGGGCAGTTAGAATAGAGAAGGGACTAACATGACAATGACAGTTGGGAATGATGACTGTATATGATAACCTGTATTGCAACCTGTACCTGTATTGCAAACTGTAATTGCCCAGAAGGAGAGAGAAAGAAGAGAGAGATGGGATGTCGGGGATCAACCAGATCAGCTACATGCAGAGCAAGCACCTTAACTGCTGTACTATCTCTCCGGGCCCAAAGAATTTTTTCTTTTTTAATGTGGTCGGTGACATGTATAATGACCTCATGAAGAGTGATAAGGCAGGTACTCTTCCTATAGCTATATCCCTAGCCCAAAAGCACATTTTTTTTTTGTCTTTTTAGGTCACACCCAGTAATGCTCAGGGGTGTCTCCTGGCTCTGCATTCAGGGATCACTCCTGGCAGTGCTGGAGGACCTATGGGATGCCGGGGATCAAACCCGGGTTGGCCGCATGCAAGGCAAATGCCCTACCCACTATACTATCACTCTGGCCCCCAAAAGCACCTTTTTAACAAGAAGAGCATTTTTAACAACAACAACAACAAAATCAGCTTTCCAGCCGAGATAAGTACTGGGAGGTTCACTCCATGGCTTGGAGGCCAGCCCCACATGCTAGGGGAAAAGGCAGCTCACATAGAGAAGGGAGCACAAAGTAAAGAGTGTTGGGAGGATCCTCCCAGGATGAAAATAGACTATAGACTGAACATGATTGCCACTTAATGCCTTTTTTGCAAACCACAGCACCCAAAAGGAGAGAGAGAACAAAAGGGAATGCCCTGCCACAGAGGCAAGGTGGGATGGGGGGATAGGGGGGTGGGAGGGATACTGGGATCACTGGTGGTGAAGAATGGGCACTGGTGAAGGAATGGGTACTCAATCACTGTATAATTGAAACCCAAGTACAAAAATTTATAAGTCTACAATTGTACCTCAGGTGTTTCACTAATAAAAATTAAAAAAAAAAAAGGGCTGGAGTGATAGTACAGCGGGTAGGGCCTTGCACCTGGCTGACCTGGGTTTGATTCCCAGAATCCCATATGGTCCCTTGAGCACCGCCAGGAGTAATTCCTGAGTGCAAAGCCAGGAGTAACCCCTGTGCATCTCCAAGTGTGACCCAAAAAAGCAAAAAAAAAAAAAAAAAAAAAATCAGCTTTCCCAAAATATTTTAACTAAAAGAAATAACTATCAAATCACTGTTACCTACCACTTGTAGTAAGGATGACAGGCCTCTTAGTGGTTGCCATGAATGTTTTGATTGCATTCAAAAACCCAGCATCTTCTTCAAAAATGACATCAACCTAAGAACCATACATTGAAATGTTAATGTACCGAGTAACAAAACACATATCACATAATAGTTGTGCAGACACAGCAGCTTAATTATATGTTGGTTAGGGATAAAGTTTATGAATTTATTAATACTATGAAGTTAGGCCACATTCCAAGCTTACATTGTATTACACTATTCAAGAGTTAAAAAAAAAAGATCAAATATTAAAGTAACCAATTAAATCCGTCACTTATTTAATAATTTAATATTTAATAACTAAGCATGGATCAGATAAATTCTACATTTACTAAACAATAATTCATAACCTTTACTTGCATTAATCATCTCTTGGAAAAGTTCTATGGTAGCGATAATTTTATTTAAAGTAAATACAAATGAAAAAAAAAATCAATAAGCTGCAAGCATCCCTAACATTTACAGGTAGCAGCCTCAGGTGCAGGGGGATGTTTTGTTTATTCACTTGGGGAAGAACTTGTCAGGGTTCTGAGTGAAATTTTTCCTGGAAAAGGGGGCAGTAAGCCAAATAAATATAAGAGCCTCTTTTTTAGAGTACAATACTCAAGAGTCTTTAGAATAGCTTTTAGAGGCTGGAGCAATAGTACAGTGGGTAGGGATTTTGCTTGCATGCGACCAACCCAGGTTCCATCCCCAGTATCTCATACAGTCCCCCAAGCACCACCAAGAGTGATTCCTGAGTATAAAGCCAGGAGTAACTCCTGCACATCACCAGGTTTGACCCCAAAACAAACAAAACATAAAAAAAAATAGCATAAGCTTTCATCACAAGATATCACTCACAAATGTACACCTCTATAAACCTACCTCCTCAAAAAGAATAAGAGACGTTGCATTTTTCCTGTTGAGTTCCTCTGCTCCAAATTCTTTGACATTTGAGTTTGTTGTGTTTGTAGAACTAGTCTGAAAAATTTGTTTCTGTTCAAAAGAATTTGTGATTCCTGCATAGATAAAATTATTTTAGATAAAATTAACTTTTAACAGAACACTATTTCCACAGAAGAAGCTAAAACAAAAAACCATATCAAAATTCAAACAAAATACTAAACCTTCTATATGTAGGATATTCAGTATAGCTGAGATTTAGTAAAAATAAGAACTAGTGGGGCCGGAGTGATAGTACAGTGGGAAGGGTGTTGGCCTTCCATACACTTAACCCACGCTCAATCCCTGGCATCCCATATGGTCCCTTGAGTCCTTCCAGGAATAATTTCTAAGTGCAGAGCCAGGAGTAACTCCTGAGCATCGCCAGGTATGTCCCCAAAACAAAACAAAATAAAAGAACTCATGATAGTTGATAATACTTTAATGTGTCTGGATCATTAACATCAAAATGTCAAATTATAGGCTGGGCAGATAGAACAAAGGAGCACATGTTCTGTATGTGGGAGCCCCAAGTTTGATCACTGAAATAGGTCCCTGAGCACCACAGGGCACAGCCCCAAGCACAGACCCCTGAGCACTGCTGAGTGTGGCCCAAAAGTAAAATGAAAAGATTCCCAGCATCCATGCTCGTAATTTAGTATTTTCAACTTAGTGTCTTACCTTTATTTTTTTCCAGAAGTGCTTCATTATTTTTCGTCTTGGAAGATACTTTAAAATAATTTGCCAAAGTTTTGGGAAGTGCTCGCTTTGCTCCACTGCTTTTTGGTGATGAGGGAGGAAGTTTCCTTGGTGAGGTAACAACTTTCCGAGGAGAATTTAATTTTTCTGCCAGAAACAAATTAGATTTAAAGGTAAATAACTCCAGATAATTCAGAAATCATCTCACAGAGAGCTGGGAATAGTGCTTTCCACAGGCAAGGTGTCAAACTCACCCTAGAGCATAGGATGAATAGGATAATACCTAAATAATGTAATATGATGCCTAAAAAATGTAATAATAATGCCTGCTAATGTCTACCTAAATAATGCAATATAACACCTAAATGTCTGCCTAAATAATGTAATAAAATTAGTCCTGGACTAAATGTAGTATGGTCCAACCAAAAAAACACTTACTAGATTTGAAAATTACAATTTATAATAGGTACATGCCAAAATAAAGTTCAAGAACAGGGGCTGGAGCAACAGTACAGCAAGTAAGGCATTTGCCTTGAACACAGCCAACCCGGGTTTGATTTCTAGCCTCCATAAGGTCCCCTGAGCATGCCAGGAATAGGTCCTGGGAATTGTTGGCTGTGGCCCCAAAACAAACACACGAACAAAGTTCAAGAACAGCTGTAGGCAGGGCCTGGGAATAACTCAGCTGTCGAGCACCTGCCTTGCAAACCTGAGGCTCGTGAGGCTACCAGTTCACTCCCCAGGCACCATCCTACATGTCTGAGTGGATCCCAGCAGCTCGGCAGTGAGATCCCAACAAAGCCCGAGGCTCTCTGGTACATGTACCTATGGTCACTGCAGTAAGGTTTATAATCACCAAGGTCTGGAAACAACCAAGTACCCAACAACAGATAAATGGATAAATGAATGTGGGGTATAGACATAATGGAATACTATTCGACTACGAGCAAAGATGGAATCTTGCATTTTTTCCTATAACCTGGATGGAGCGGAGTCATGGAAAGCGCAATGAGTCAAAAGGACAAGGATAAATACTGGATGATCTCAGTCACAGGTGAAGTAGAAAGAAACAGAGGGAAAGACACAGACCATGTTCAGTTGAAAAATAAAAACCAAAAACCCGAAGATTCTGTCTAGAGAACTGAGTCTGCCAAGTGGGGAGGTAGAGGGGAATGGAGGAGCATGGAAGAAAAGGGACCTAGTGACACAGGTGGAGGGATACTGACACTCTTGTGATGGGTGAGATACAGTAATGTTGGATGCCAAAAACATCAAAAATATTAAAGCAATAATGGAATAGTATACTTCATCCATGAGCCTGCGGGTTTGATCCCTACCACTGCCCCAACATGCTTAGTGCTGTCCTGCTATTCAAGATCCCCAGTGTCACAGCAGAGGGACAATTACTGGTGACCATAAGTGGGTGTGTGTGCCAAAAATAAATAAGTGTGCAACCTGTCAAGCACCAAAGATGTGAGCACTGCAACTGACAGCACAACCACACCAGTTCTTGGAATAATCATGAAGGGAAGTGGAAAATAAAAATAAATAAAATAATAGGGTCTGGAGCAATAGTACAGCGAGTATGGGGCTTGCTTTGCAAGTGGCTGACTTGGGGTTTGATCCCTGGCATCCCAAATGGTCTCCTGAGTACCACCAGGAGTAATTCTTGAGTGCAGAGCCAGGTAAATTTGAGGGAAGACACATGGATATGTACAAGAAAAGATAAAAAAAAATGGCACCATGCTAGTTACCAAAATCACTTTTTGAGACAATTTTCCCCTCCAAAGAATCATGACTGAAGGAAACCGATTTACTTACTTGGTGACTTGCCTAGGTTGTAGTTATTAAAAATACAAGGCTTTTGTGAATTGACACCTTGCTTGTCCACTTGATGGGACTGGGTAGCTTCCTTCAGTTGAGACAGAATTTGCCTACCATTGCGCTGAGAAGAAGCATTCACTTCAAATATCTGAAAGAAAAATACAGGGGCAAGAAAGGCAGGATGGCTTGCATTTTCTTAAAACGCCGCTTGAATGATGACAGCGGTGCTCTCCCCTGACTGACCTTGAATCCCAGCTCCTGAGCACATGCGTACACCGCAGCTGTCTTCCCCACCCCGGTCGGCCCTGTTATAAGCATGGTGTTGCACAGGCGGGTGTCTTCGTCATCTGAGCTGCCTTTAAAATCCGCATCTGACAGATCTGAAACATCATTTAAATGCACATAAAACATTCATTGTTTAAGCAATAATTCTGCCTTGCAAAACCCAATGGTCCACATCCATTTATCATCTTACTGATAAATGCGGAAAACATGACCTCGAATGTAGTGGAGCACATATATGCCTTGTATGAATGAGGAAGCCCAGGGTACAATTCCCAACACTGCATATACACATTATTATTATTATTATTGTTATTATTATTATTATTATTATTTTTACCCAGTAACTCTACAAATGTTTAATGAAACAAGAAAAATGACTCAAGGGGTTGCAGTGATAGCACAGCAGGTAGGGCGTTTGCCTTGCACGTGGCCTGACCCAGGTTAGATTCCCAGCATCCCATATGGTCCCCTCAGCACAGCCAGGAGTAATTCCTGAGTGCATGAACCAGGAGTAACCCCTGTGCATCGCTGGGTGTGACCCCAAAAAGCAAAACAAAACAAAAAAAGACTCAAAATACCTTCCTGTTTTTCCTCCCTTCTTCCCTTCAAATTTTGTCTTTCTTCCAATTCAGCTCTTCTTTTCCAGTCCTTCAGCCAACTGACAAAAGAAAATAGATATTATTAAAAAAAATTCACAGAACATAGGTATTTCTTAAATTAGACATTAAATAACATCTACAGGTAGTTAAGATCTATTGTTAGTTCTTAAGTACTTCACAGTGCTTCGGAATCCACATAAAAATAAAATGCCTTTGGAGCATTGGGATAGGGGGTGGGAGGGATACTGGGATCACTGGTGGTAAAGAATGGGCACTGGTGAAGGAATGGGTACTCAATCACTGTATAATTGAAACCCAAGTACAAAAATTTATAAGTCTACAATTGTACCTCAGGTGTTTCACTAATAAAAATTTTTAAAAAAATGCTGGAGTGATAGCACAGCGAGTAGGGCGTTTGCCTTGCACATGGTCGACCTGGGTTCGATCCCCAGCATCCCATATGGTCCCCCGAGCACCGCCAGGAGCGATTCCTGAGTGCATGAGCCAGGAGTAACCCCTGTGCATCGCCGAGTGTGACCCAAAAAGCAAAAAAAAAAAAAAAAAAAAAAAGGAAAAGCCTAAAAGTACATGAGTATGAGAAAAGATAAAATACACTCACCTGAAAAAACAAACAAAAAACAAAAACCAGAAAACAGAAAACAGCAACTATGAATTCCTCAGGTAGACTGCATCACACCATGAAGGGTGTCATTATACATTCCTCATGTTACTACTTAAACTCAGTCTAACATACAAGGTAAAGTATAAGCAGAAAAATCAAGTTCTAGTCTGAAGCTCAAACACCTGAGTTGAAGTTCAGTTTAAATCACTTTCTAAACAGACAACCTAATAAATGGTTCAACCTCTACTGCTTATCTCTGACATGAGGACAATGTGTCTACCTTCACATACTGCTCTAACGAGTAAATAAATGGGCTATGGGGCTAGGTGAGATGGTTCAAAGGGCTGGAGTACATGCAAGCAAGAGTCCTGGGTTCTAGCCCTGACACCACCAGTTCCCTGTGCATTGCAGGGTGTTACTCCAAAACCAAAAACATACATCTTCTAGAACAATCAAGTCCTTAGAACACTGCCAGGTTCCAAATGTTAATTATCATGGATTCAACACCTTACATGAGATCCTTGGGGCAAGATGAGTTTCAGAACTCAGGCTTAATAGTACAAAGGCAATTTGGTACATATACCACTTATAATAACCCTAATGGAATTTGCGGCAGTACCTTCAAATTCACTTCATATTTTTTTCTAGTTGAAAAAAAATTCATGGAGGCAAGAAGGAAGAACATCAGGTAAGGTACTAGCTTTGCAAGCAGCTAAATGGATTCAATACCAAGCACCACATATGATCCCTTAAGCAACAGAAATGATCCCTGAGCACAGAGCCAGGAGTAAGCCCTGAGTACAACTAGGTGTGGGGGTATACTCCCCTTGCCAAATTTATGCTCCGATCTCAATACAGACCAGTACTCCCAATCAGTACCCGCCTGGACCACCTCCTCCCAATCCCACTGTGGGGTAGGAACTGATGCTATGAAGGATGGCCTCTGCCTATTTTTGGTTTCTTTTGAGTCACATCCCCTGGTGCCTGGGGCTTACTTTCACTCTGTGCTCAGGGATCATTCCTGACTAGCTCAAAGGACCATACGGGGTGCCAGGAGTCCAACCGAAACCAGATAAAGACCATAATAAATTTTATATAATAAAGTTAATACTTTTTGTTTTCAAATCTTTCTGGAAGTGTAAACTGTTCCAAAAATATTATAGAACTGAATTAACAGCAATATATCCTATTTATTAGAAAAAAGGAATATATGCATAAAAATATCGGGGGGGGTTGAAGAGAGATTATAGTGGGTAGGATGTTTGCCTTGCACACACCACACTCAGGCTGGATCTCTAGCAACCCACATGGTCCCCTGAGTATGGCTACGAGTGACCTCTGAGCACAAGGAGTAAGCCCTGAGCACAGCTGGTGAAAAACACAAAACAAAAAATATTTTTATGGGAGGTTTTACATTTAAATAGTGGTAAGAAGCAAGAGATTTACTTTCTATTTTAAATGCATAATTTTTAAGATTTTTATCACACCTTATTTATAATTATTGGACTTTAGTACAAATAAAATTAAAAAGTAAAACAATTCATAAGGGTCGGAGCAATAGTACAGCTGTAGGGCATTTGCCTTGCATGTAATCGACCTGGGTTCAATCCCCAGCATCCCATATGGTTCCCCCCACCCAGCACTGCCAGGAACAATTCTGAGTGCAGAGCCAGAAGTAACCTCTGAGTATCGCTGGGTATGAACCCAAAAGCAATAAATAAGTAAATAAATGGATTAAAAAACTTTTTTTTAAATGAAACAATTCATGAACTACTTTTTATTTCTTTACAAATTTTACCAACCTGTGTAATTTTTTTATAGCTAGCTCATTGCCTATGAGTTCACTGGAGTTCTGAGGTTGATATTTTTCTGTCCAAAGGATATCTTCAGGTCCAGAATCTAAAGCAGAGAATATATATTAAAGAATGTGTTCACCACACACACACACACACACACACACACACACCAATTGCCCCCCCCCACCCCCGCCAGCAGCTTGCTGCAGAGATGCCTCCAGACTTTGCAATAGGCCACTTTCACTGGGCCACTCCAGGTGCTGTCCCTCCGCCTGCCCCCTAAGAATCCTGGTGGCCACCATCTTCTAGAACCCAACAAAAAGTCCATGTACACAGGAGAAGAAACAGCAAAGGCCAGGCGTCATGGGACAGGGGAGAAGCCAGGCTTTCTCCTTCCCCTCGCCCCAATGGGACTCTTAAGATGACGCCCACAAACTGCCCCCAGCTATTCATTAAGCTTCTACACAGCCACGATCCACAGACACACACACAAATCTCAGAACAAGCAGCTTGCTGCAGAGATCTCTCCAGACTCTATTAAAATTTTAGAATTCTTAGAGCTATGGAATTATATGCTATCCATAACAAGCAATACAAAACAAACTGTCTAACATTGCTTTTTCAGCAGGTTTGAGTGGTGGTGGGACTGGTGTTGAAATACTGAATGTAATCATAGTAGAGAGAGCGTATTGTGGAAATTGTCTGCCGCACAGGCAAGGGAAGGGTTCAAATGGGGGTGGATACTGGGTATTTTGGTGGTGGAAAATGTGCACTGGTGAAGGGAGGGGCAATTGATTACTGCATAACCAAAACTCAAATATGAAAGCTTTGCAACTATATCTCACGGTGAATCAGTAAAAAAGGGGGCGGGAAAAATGTGTGGTGGAGAATGGGCACTGGTGGAGGGACGGGTACTCAATCATTGTATAACTGAAACCCAAGCACGAAAGTTTGTAAGTCTACAACTGTATCTCATGGTGTTTCACTAATCAAAAAAAAAAAAATGTGTTCATCGACACAGCATAAAAACTCAGATATTTGTATTACTGCTTCAAAAAGAAAATGTTTATATCAATATTTATATTTACAAAACACCCGAGTAAGCAACTTCAAACTTTTTATTTGTAATTCTTCTTAACAGAGCTTTCCCCTCTTAAAAACTAAGCAACATAAAGTCTCATGACAAGTTTAAAAATGTATTTTAGGGGACAAGAAAAATAGTTTAAGGGCCAAGAGGGTATGCTTTGTGTGCAGACGGCCCAGGTCTGACCCCCAGAACTGTAAGTACTGCCAGGATTCACCAGAATTCAGGTGTAATCCTAGAGCAATGCTGGGTGTAGCCCAAACCAAATATAAGTACATAAAACAAAATTACATTTGGGGCCTGGGAGGAAGCTCAATATATAAGAACATAAGATTTGCATGTGGGGTGCTGGAGCAATAGCACAGCAGGTAGGGTGCCTGCCTTGCACGCGGCCGACCTGAGTTCGATTCCCAGCATTTCATATAGTCCCCCGAGCACCGCCAGGAGTGATTCCTGAGTGCAGAGCTAGGAGTAACCCCTGTGCATCAAGGGTGTGACCCCAAAAAAAAAGAAAAAAAAAAAGATTTGCATGTGGGAGGCCCAGGTTCAATCCCCGGTAATACATGGTCCCCTAGTAGCACCAGAAGTGACCTCCCTGCATCTACCCCAGAAGACCAGGAGTAGCCCAAATACTCCCAGGGGTTGTCCAAAAACAAAGTCCTAGGACCACAGGAGAAACTTACCAGAAACAGAAGACACTTCTGAGATAGAGCTTTCGTCATCTATTATCAGAACATCAGAATCTTCTACTGCTTCTGTTTCCACTTTACATGTTATGTTCAAAGCTGAATCCTTCTTCCTGAATGTTTTAGAGGACAGATCTTTGGAAGAATCAAATTTTGTCCCAGCAGAGAAGTTTCTTTTGTTAAGTTCTTCTGGCTTCCCGTTTACCATTTTTGGACTTTCTGAACACTCATTTGGTTTCTTTCTTTTTGACTTATGACATTCTGTTCCCACTCTTTTTCTTTTAGTTTCTTTCTTTTTGACATCATCCTCTGGATGTGAATTGTCTATTTGGAGAATCATAGAAATATGTACTTATTGATTAGAAATTGTTGACCAGAATTGTACAAAGGCTTATGGTGCTTGACTTGTATGCAGTCAACCCAGTTTCAATCCCAGGCACTACATATGGTCCCAAGCACTATCAGGAATGATCCCTGATCACAGAGCCAGGAGTAAGTCCTGAGCATAGCTGGTATAGTCCAACAACTCCCCACTAGGAAGAAAAAGATACACTTACCAATCAGCCAAAAAGAAAATGTAATACTACATAATCTTAACACCAATCCAAAATATTCTTATATTTCAAAATAGTCTTTTTTGATTTTTTTTTGGGCCATACCTGGCGGTGCTCAGGGGTTACTCCTGGCTCTGTACTATAGAAATCATTCCTGGTGGGCTCAGAGGACCATATAGGACTCTGGGAATTGAATCCAAGTTTGTCACATGCAAGGCAAGCACAGTTACCCGAGTCTCAACAGGACTGATCCCTGAACAGAGGCAGAAATAAGCTGGGGCACGGCCAGATGTGGCCCATAAAACAAAAAAATAATAAACCCCTAATACACTATAAGAAAGCTGGGTATCTTCTTTGAACTGCCCTTTGTATGTGCCACATATGTTAGTTACATTTATCTCACTCAGGTTTTCCTCAAATAATTACTTGAAAATAAGTAAAGCTGTGCTTGGGCTTGCATCTCTAGAACTTGGTAAGGGTTAACAAAGTACGATACATCAGTTGAACAATCCTCCCAGTCAAGAGTCAACAACTAAGCTTTAGTTTTCAAAATCGGAATGTTCACATAAACAATACCAATTATGACTAACCTTGTTTAAGATGACTCTCAGAAAGTACCTGATGCTCAGCCCTTTTTTTCAGTAGCAAAGAAAAATATTTCTTCAAAGGAAATTCAGGATTTGACCACCTAATTTCTTCCAGCAAAAGATTTCTAATTTCTTCAGTTAAGTCTTTCTTTCTCCCCATTAACTGCAATAAAGAACAAAATGCTGAATATCAGACCGACGTTATCTATTAGGAGTAATCATAATATTACCAACTACTTGTTAGCTGTGACAAGTCAATACCAGCGTAGGAATAACTCTAGTTACGAAATACAACCATGAGGGCAAAGCTGGCATTTGCATAGCTTTTGAAAGATTTAATTCGTTTTTATTCTCTCTCTCATTATTATACTTTACACACTGTATCGAATTGCAAAATATCTAAATGTGCTATAAAATTTAATATTCTTTTGAAATTAACTATCATTAGTTCTTTTATCAGGAGGCAAAGGAGGCAGGGTGGGCCATACCCAGTCATGCAGTCAACCCAGGCTTACTCCTGGCACTATACTTGGGGGTTACTCCTAGCATGCTTGGGGAACCATTCAGGGTACTGGGGATCAAATCCGTATCAGCTGCATGCAAAGCAAGTACCTTAGATGCTGTAGTCTCTTCAACCTCATTTATTCTTAAGACTTGTTTTTGATTTTGTTATCGTTGTTTTGGGGTCACACTCAACAATGCTCAGGGGTTACTCCAGGCTCTGCACACAAGAATCACTAGTGGCAGTGCTCAGGGGAGCATATGGGATGCCAGGGAACGATCATGGGTTAGCTGCATGCAGAGCAAACGCTCTACTTGCTGTACTATCTTTCTGGTTCTGCTTAAGATATTTTTAAACTTCTAGCAGTATTTAGGAACCTGAGAGATGGTACAGCAGGTAGGGCATTTCCCTTGTAAATACACAGCCCAGGTTCAATCTCTGATATCTTCTATGGTCCCCCAACCACCACCAGTAGTGATTCCTGAGTGCAGAATCAGGAATAACCCCGGTGCATCACCATGTGTGGCCCAAACAACCCACCTCCCATCCCCCAAATTAGACTCCTACAGAAAGCTAACTGTACACTAAAGAAGTAAGTATTTATCTTTGGAAGAGAGCATAGGAGTTAAAGCACTTTGCACAGTGTCAAACTCCTGTATAATACACCACCTAAGGTCATTCCTGAGCACAGAGCTAGTATACTCCCTAAGCACCACTGTGTGTGATATGAGCCTAACTCCTCCTCAGAGACCCCTTCCCCCCACTCCCCAACACACATACACACACAAACTTATCTTCATTGGTTTTATTCCCTAAAAGTTGTGGAAGAATCATCCTAAGGAGTGCATTTTCCAATACTTACCTTAATAGCAGACTTTTTAATTTCTGAATCTGAATTCAATGTTGAAAATTCACCAAGAGTCATAACACATTTTGAGATATCCATTATCTTTGTATTCTGTTCCTTAAGTTTAGTTAAGAGAGGACAAGTGGGTGATTTCAAATGCCACAAATGACATCCTAAAAATAAAAAAAAGAAAAAATATCTTAATTACTATTATTCACAAGCTATCTATTCATTCACTGAATGCCAAGCATGCAAATATGAGAAGCCTTCACAAACTACCACATAGCATAATAAATGCAAAAGTACCAACCCTGAGTGAGTACAGAGAATAAAATCTTAACCCTCAACAGTAGAAATTAATAAAAATTTTTATATAATTAAAAAAATAATTAAAATAATCTGCTCATCCCTCCCAATTGCTAAAAAATAAGAAAATACCAGCAAACTCTCAAGTGAGCCGTGCTACCCAGTGTTAAAATTTCAAGGGCACTTAGCATCCTGGTTTAAGGTTTAAAGCTTAAACTTTGAAGAAAGACCTGGATCTTATGAACTATGTGAATGTAAGCAAGACCCCAAACATGAATTTCTTCAGTTTTTAAGTATGGGTGACACCAGAACAAATTCTGAGTTGTTGCTGGGATTGCACTAACTCATGCTGGGGATAGAATCCAGGTTGGCCCTGTGCAAGGCAAATGCCCTATCTGCTGTACTATAGCTCTGACCCCAATTCCTCTTCATTTTAATACTGATGCAGAGAAGCCCATCCTGCTTGCCTCATTTGCTCATATGTACATAAATTTTATAGGATCATTCCTATAAAAATGAGCTTATCAAAATTACAAAGGAAAGGCACTGCTAATTTTTAAATTAAGAGTACAGGGTTGGAGCAATAGAATAGTACCTAGGGCGCTTGCCTTAATGTGGCCAATGCAGGTTTGATTCCTAGCATCCGTATGGCTCCCCAACCTTGCCAAGAGTGATACCTGAGTACAGAGTACAGAGTACAGAGTACAGAGTGATACAGAGTGAGTACAGAGAGAGCCAGGAATAAACCCCGAGCACTGCTGGATGTGGCCAAAAACAAAAACACAGAAAATAGTTAAAATTGGGGCTGGAGATGGTTCCCTGAGTACTACCAGAAGAGATTCCTGAGTGCAAAGCCAAGAGTAAGCCCTACCCATCACCAGGTATGGTCCCAAAAAACAAAGCAATAAAGCAACAAAAGAAAACAGTTAAAACATTCTGGCTCCTTGATCTTTGACTCCCAGCCTCCAGAACAGCTGGACTCATGGACACCTTCTGAGTAGTAAAACCTGGGAGGTGATGGGGGTGGAACTAGGTCATTCAAGGATCATGGCATCCTCCTCTGCTCTTCCTCTGGAATCAGTCACTCTGGGAGAAACAGACACATAGGCAGCCCCAAGGGAGGTCACAAATTGACAACCAAGGCCTCCTGTCAGCTGTCATGGTCATGAGACCTCTCAGAAGCAAATTCTTCAGGCCAGGTCAAGCCTTCAGGATAACACATCCTGGTGATCAACCATGAGCCACACCACCTAGCCATGTCGCTCCCAGAATCCCAACTCTCAGAAACAGTGAGACGGAGGCCTCTGCTGTATGAAGTCACTGCATTGGGGAGGAGCATATTCTAATCACCAGTTGTACTGATTTCTCAGTAAAGGGAGATTCACAGGGTCTAAGGAGAACATGTCCATGCTGGCAAAGGCCTTTCCAAGGATCTCCTTCCCTCTCCCTTGCCAAGGGAAGTCAGGTCTGGTGTGTGGGCTTGTGAGAGAAGGCTAGACAAACAACCAGGCCTGGGCTTCCCTGCATTACAGGCTATGTGACTCAGTGCTGGCAGAGGAGATGTAAGCAGAAGCTGATGAAGTTTCTCTGAGGAAGCTTTAAAGAAGATGAACTGGGGACTGGGACGATGGCTCAGTGATCAAGTACATACGTCGCATGTATAAAGCCCTGAATTCCAGCCCAGGTTACTGCAAAATAAAAAATGAAAGCTGGCAAACATATTCTTTCGCCAAAGAAAATACAACTGGAAAATGCTATACAAATCAAGACAGATAGTATAGCAGCTAAGGTACGTGCCTTGCATGCTCATGGCCAACCCACCCAGGTCTGATCCCAATCCTGCAGAGTCCCAAATCCTACCAAGAAGTTGTTTTCTGAGGACAGAACCAGGAACAAGTCCTGAGCATCACCAGGTTTGGCTCAAAAACCAACAATTTTTTTTTTCCCTTTTGGGTCACACCCGGAGATGCACAAGGGTAATTCTTGGCTCTGCACTCAGGAATTATCCCTGGCAGAGCTTAGGGGACCATATGCGATGCTGGGAATTGAACCTGGGTCGGCTGGGTACAAGGCAAATGCCCTACCCGCTGTGCTATCACTCCAGCCCCCCAAAACCAACATTTCTTTTTATTACAATTTTTATTTTATTTTGCTTTTTGGGTCACACCCAGCGATGCACAGGGGTTACTCCTGACTCTGCATTCAAGAATTACCCCTGACGGTGCTCAGTGGACCATGTGGGATGCCGGGAATTGAACCTGGGTTGGCCACGTGCAAGGCAAATGCCCTACTGCTGTGCTATTGCTCCAGACCCACCAACATTTTTTTTAAAAAAGAAGAAAAGAAAGAAGAGAAGGATGAGGAGGAGGAGTTAGAGGAAGAGGTGGAGGAGGAGGAAGAGGAAGAAAGAAAAAAAGAAAGGAAAGAAAGAAAAGAAAGAAGGAAAGAAGGAAGGAAGGAAAGAAGGAAGGAAAGAAAGAAAGAAAGAAAGAAAGAAAGAAAGAAAGAAAGAAAGAAAGAAGAAAAATAACTGTTGGGGCAGGAAAAAGTGCAAAAAACTGAGCACATGTTCTGCACACAGGAGGTCTGGGTTCTAGTCCTGTCCAAGCACAGCCAGGAGCAACCCCCTAGACAAAGGTATAAGGAGCCTCTGAATACCACCAGGTATGGCCCAAAACTGAAAATCAAACAAATTCTCACTAAAATCATTACAAAAGGGCTGGAATAGTATAGTGAGTAAGGCTCTTGTCTTCCATGCAGCCAACTTGGGTTTAATTCCCTGTACCCCACATAGTACCCCAAGCACTGCCAGGCACAGATCCCTGAGCACAGATCCAGAAGTAAGCCATGAGCACTGATAGGGGTGGCCTCCAAACAGAAACAAAAATTGACAATAAATATTATACATCATGGGGCTGGAGAGATAGCACAGCAGGTAGGGCAATTTGCTTTGCATGTGGCTGACCCAGGTTCAATCCCCGGCACCCTACATGGTTCACTGAACCTGCCAGGAGGGATCCCTGATTATAAAACCAGAAGTATGCCCTGAGCACTGCAGGCTGTGGTCAAAAAAAAAAGAGAAAAAAAAATAGAATGACACATTAATCTTAGCCTCATCCTAAATTACAAACATAGCTTTACACACATAACTTCTACCAGTTTAAAAGCAAATGAAGACTCAATGATTATAAATCAAACTTACCATCCTCTTTTTGTTGAACATGAACAACTCTCTGGAAACTGGTACTTGCTGCTTCATACACATCTAGTGCAGCAGCTTTCTTTGCAATTTGTCGTTTCAACAAATCCGGCAGACCACTCATCAGAAAATCACGCTTTGCTTTGAACTGCATGTCACAATTCTGAGATTTTTCAGATGTATCTTGACTTTTGAGAAAATGTAAGAAAGGACAACCAAATTATAGGTACATTTAGGATACCTTTTTATTTAATTTGAAACTATTTAATTGGCTGTGTTAGCTTATCAAAATCTGTTTTGCTTGTCACAAAAAGAAAAGTCTGGGGCTGGAGCAATAGCACAATGGGTAGGGCATTTGCCTTGCACGCGGCCGACCTGGGTTCAATTCCCAGCATCCCATATGGGTCCCCTGAGCAATGCCAGGGATGATTCCTGAGTGCAGAGCCAGGAGTAACCCCTTGTGCATTGCCAGGTGTGACCCAAAAGGAAAAAAAAAAAAGTTCATCAGAGTTAAAAATTAAATAGTTACTGACTTGAACAGTTACCAAGATGTCATCTTTGGGTAGTGATTGAGATTTTTTTCCCTCTTTGCTGTGAGTTTTCTTTTTCATCTTTTAGTGGGAGGGGCCCCAGAAGTTTGAGGCCACACCCAGCAGTACTTAGAGGCTATTCCTGGCACTCTGTTCAGGGATAACCCTAGCAGTGCTCAGTGGGCCAGAAGCATTGTCAAGGATCAAATCTAAAACCCCTGCAAGTAAGGCAAGTACATTGACCCTTGTACTCTCTCTATCCCTGTTTTCTTTCTTTTTTTGTTTGGGGGGTTGTGGGGTGTGTGATGAGATTTAGGTCACAACAGTTGATGCTCAGGGATCACTCTGGTGGTGCATGGGGAACCATATGTGGTACAAGGGAAGGAGCATTTGTCAGCCACATGCAATGCAAGTGCCTTAACCCCTGTACTATTTCTCCAACCCCACTTGCTTTCATTTTTAAATACAGGCATTTATATTCTAAACATAAAATAAGACCTGTGAGATTCTACATATACATATATAAATATACACGTTGTTATATATAAAACCCTGCTCTTTGTTTTTCTCTCTCTATATATGCATATATGTAAATTATATATGTATAGGTCATACTGGCAATGCTCAGGAATCACTCCTAGCAGTGCTTGGGTGTTAATATGTGATGCCTGGGACTGTTCAGCCATGTGTAAGGCAGGAGCCTAACCTGCTGTACTATCTGTTCGATCCTAATTTTTTTATTTTTATTGCTATGAAGGTCATACCTGGCTATGTTCAGGAACAGAAGTGATGGAGTAACAGAGAAGATCAGGTGGCTGGGACTGAATCCAGGGCTTCATACTTGCAAAATATACACTCTTACCCCTTAAACCACTTTCACTGCCTAAAAGTTATATGCTTCTTTTGTTTTGTTTGTCTTTGACCACACCCAATGGTGCAGAGGGCTTACTCTGGCTCTGTACTTCGGGATCACTCTTGATGGGGTTCAGAGGACCATATTGGCTGCTAAGGATAAAAGCTGGCTTGGTTGTGCAAGGCAGGTGCCCTACCTGCTGTAATATAGCCCCAAATTATACATTTTATTTGATTTTTTTTTTTTTGCTTTTTTTGAGGGGTCACACGCAGCAACGCTCAGGGGTTACTCCTGGCTCTGCACTCAGAAATTACTCCTGGCAGTGCGCGGGGGGTCATATGGGATGCCAGGGATTGAACCCGGGTCGGCCGTGTGCAAGGCAAACACCCTTCCCACTGTACTATTGCTCCGGTTCCCCAAATTATACATTTTAAATGGATGTGCTGGGTCTAAAGAGATAGTACAGTGGGAAGGGTGCTTGCTTTTCATGCAGCTGACCCAGGTTAAATCCCTGGCAACCCTGAGGTAGGAGGTTCCCTGTGCACAGAGCCAGACATAAGCCTTGAGCACCACCTGATATAGCCTAAAAACAAACAAACAAACAACTGAAATAAAACAGTGACCAGAGAGATAGTACAGAGGCTAGGGACCCTGCCTTGTATCAAATCTGGTTCAACCCCCAGCACCACATATAGTTCCCTAAGCCTCTGGTTCAACCCCCAGCACCACATATAGTTCCCTAAGCCTAAGAGGAGTAATCCCTAAGCTGACAAGAGTAAGCCAACTGTGGCCCAAAAAAGAACAATAAACAAATTGTGGTTGGCCGTACATCTTTTGATAACAGGATATATTCTAGGAAATGAGAAATGTGTAGTTAGGCATGCTGTCTTTGTAAGAATAACCCAGAATTCAAGTACATAAATCTAGATGGTATGCTTACTAGACACCGAGGGTATATGGTGCAGAGCAATGGTTTTTATCAGCTGGTCTGCAGACTAGTGCCAGTCCAAAGGCATAGAAGATGGAAATTTACTGATATATACTACTAGGATGATGGTCATAGACACAGTCCATCACTGATCAACACTGCTAACACATGACTGTATTACCATCATATAATGAAACTATTGGGCGCTCCACATCTTGGAAGCCAATCTCATGTGCTGGGGGAAAAGGCAGCTGGGATAGAGAAAGGACCACTAAGTAAATGATGGTTGGAGGGCTTGCTCGAGATGGTCGATATGTGCTGAAAGTAGACTATGAACCAAACACGATGGCGTCTTAAGACCTGTACTGCAAACCATAACACCAAGAAGGAGACAGAGAGTAAGAGGGAATGTACTTGCCATAGAGACAGGGGGGCAGGAAGAAGTGGGAGTGACGGGAGGGATACTGAAAATATTGGTGATGGAGAACGGGCACAGGAAGAGGGATGGGTAATACTGTATGACCGAAACATAATTATGCAAAGTTTGTAAGTCTGTAATTATATCTCAGTGATTCATTAAAATAAAAAATTAAAAAAAAAACCTCTTGGGAAATAAAGAACAGACTGAGATTACATCACCTTAACAGAAAGAAGTCAGTGTGCTTTCTGAACGATTTAATTTCTGATACTCTAGAAAAAGCAAACTAATCTATATTAACAGAAAGCAGATGAGAGGTTACACAGGATAGGTAGTGAGAAGCAGTTGTTAACTGTAAAGAAGCTCACATGAACTATCTTAAGTATGATAAATGTCCTATTTATCAAGTCATTCCACAGACATGTACATTTGTTAAACCTCCATCTGTTTTCTTAATATGAGTATATATAATTGCATACTTAAAATGAGTGTTATATGAGTGTACACTATGTTTAAAATAACACTAATATAAAAAATAAAGTGTCTTTTGGGGCCAGCAAGTAGGGGGCTTGCCTTGCATGCAACCAGCCAGAGTTTGATCCCTGGTATTCCATATGGTCTCCCTGAGCCCACCAGGAGTGATCTCTGAGTACAGAGCTAGGAGTAAACCCTGAGCATCAGCAGAAGCGTGACCCTAAAACCAAAAAAAGAGAGAAGAAGTGTCTTTTTATATTGAGCAATAGCAAGGAAGAAGGAATATAAAGCATAGGGACTGAAAAGATAGTACAGGGTTAAGGGCTTGCCTTCCATGTGGCTGACCCCAGTTCAATCCCCAGCACTGAATACAGTCCTCTGATTGCGGCACCACAGGGATCACTACTGAGCAGAGCCAGAAACAGCCCCTAAGCACTGCCAAATATGGCCCACCAAATTTAATAATTAAATAATAAAGCAAGCAAGCAAAATAATAATAATAATAATAATATAAAGGTAAAGGTAAAGGCCCTCCCGTTGATCGTCGATTTGCTCGAGCGGGCCCAGTAACGTCTCCATTGGAGACTTTGTTGTTACAGCCCTGGAGCGATAGCACAGCGGGTTAGGGCGTCTGCCTTGCACGCAGCCAACATGGCCAACCTGAGTTCGATTCCTCCGCCCCTCTCGGAGAGCCCGGCAAGCTACCGAGAGTATTCGATATGCCAAACCCAAAGAAGATAATAATAATAATATAATAATAATAATACAAAACCCTAATCTGGTACAAACAAACAACCTAAATAAAACAAAAACCCACATATGGGCTGGAGAGATGACATGGGTTGGATCCTAATACCTCACAGGCCCCACAGCAATACTGGGAGGAATCCTGACTCAGGAATACCTCCCATCATGACCAGTGTTGCCCAAAACCCTCCCCCTCCACCCTCAATGAATCAACAGTAACAGAAATTAAATTAACTGATCTATAATAGGAATCAGAACACTGGTAACAGTGGTGCTCAGGTGCTATTCCCAGCTCAGTGCTCAGGAGTCACTCTCAGCGGTGCTCACGGGACCATACGTGGTGCTAGAGATTGTACCCAGACCTCCTGTATGTAAACAACTGGCTCTAATCAACAGAGCCATTTCTTTCTTTTTTTTTTTTTTTTTTTGCTTTTTGGGTCACACCCAGCAATGCACAGGGGTTATTTCTGGCTCTGCACTCAAGAATTACTCCTGGCGGTGCTCAGGGGACGATATGGGATGCTGGGAATCGAACTCAGGTCAGCCGCGTGCAAGGCAAACGTCCTACCCTCTGTGCTAATGCTCCAGCCCCCAACAGAGCCATTTCTTTAACTGCAGTCACGGCAACCTTCTATTGTGACAGTGTAGGGGACTTAAAAGAAAAAAAGCATCATCAGGTCATGCCTGGACTCCTGTATCCATTCTAATCCTCCATTTCATTCTTGATGCAACAAACTAAACCAGGCCCAAAGCAATAGTGCAGCAGAGGTGGCGCTTGAACGTGGTTGACCTAAGTTCAATCTCTGCCACCTCAGATGGTCTTCCCAGCATTGTCAGGCAACAGTAAACTCTGAGCAACATCAGGTGTCGCCCAAAAAGATTTTATTTAACAATAATAAAAAAAACAATAATCCAACAGTCATATTACACTTTCCAAACACAGCAGTCAAAACTCTTGACTGTTATCATTTTTTTTTTTTTTTTGGTGGGAGGGCCACACCTAGCGGGGCTCTGGGGTTACTCCCAGCTCTGCACTCAAAAAATTACTACTGGCAGTGCACAGGGAACCATATGGGATGCTGAGAATCAAACCCAGGTCGGCAGCGTGCAAGTCGGAGATGCTGTACTATCTCCCCGACCACGCTTTTATTACTTTTGACATAGTGACCACATTCTTTCACTTGGCCTAAAGGTCCTACAAGGGCTGGCACCCCCTTTCCAGCTTCAGTGCATACTCCTATCACCTTTGATCTCTCTGCCCACATCGGAGGAGAACCCTTCTTCCCCTTGTATATTCCATGCTGCTCGCATCTTCGGGGCCTTTGCACAGAGGGTCCCCCCTCCTCAGCTCTGTTCCCCTAAACTCATCTTTTAGCTCAAATGTCATTTCCTCAGTGAAGTCTCTCTATGCTACCTCAAATCTATTTACTATAAATGGTGAGGTGCCAGAGAGATAGTACAGAAGAGAGGGTATTTGCTTTGCACATAGCTGACCTGTTTCAATTCCTGACATCCCATCTGGTCCCCTAACCACCATCAGGAGTAATTCCTGAGTGCAGTGCCAGGAGTAATCCCTGAGCATTGCCAGGTGTGCCCCCCCCCCAACAAAAAAGAAAAGAAAAACAAACAAAAAATGCAATTAATTCCTCTCCTCAGCACAACAGCAATATTTTTTGTTGTTTCAGGGCACACTCAGTGGGGTTGGTTCAGGGCTTGCCACTGGCTCAGGGATCACTTCTGGCAGGGCTCATGGGACCACATGGGAATGAAACCCTGGGTAGTCACATGTAAGCCAAGACCCTTACCCACTGTACTATCTCTCCTCAACTATAATTTGTTGCTTTTTATTCTCCTGAGAATAAGACATGTATCTTGTTTCCCCTTAATACTCTTAGTAGTAAAAAAAAAAAAAAAAAGCCTGGAATATAGTATTAAATATTGAGATTTAGCTTACAGTAAACTTTTTGCATTTTTTTTTTTTTTTTTGCTTTTTGGGTCACACCCGGCAATGCACAGGGGCCACTCCTGGCTCTGCGCTCAGGAATTACCCCTGGCGGTGCTCAGGGGACCATATGGGATGCTGGGAATTGAACCCGGGTCGGCTGCGTGCAAGGCAAACGCCCTACCCACTGTGCTATTGCTCCAGCCTCACTTTTTGTTATTTTTGTTTGCTAATTTTTCCAACTATTTTGTCCAGAGATAGCAGAAAATGTTTGGAAAAGATCAATATCTTCAAGCTGCAATTATACATTATCAATATCATCTTTAAAATGGACTTTTGAAGCTTCACATAATTTATGCACCATCTTATCAAAGTAAACATCTAAGGAGAATATACATTCAATAAAACTCTTTGGCATTTAAGTATCTATATTGGACTGACCTGTTTTCATCAAAACCAAGAACAGGATCAGCTGTTTTTTGAGACTTCCTGGTTACAAATAAAGGAGCAACTTTCATTTTTCCTTAGAAAAATAAGCATATAAGTTAGTATCAATGTTTATCATCTTCATTGTACTTACTTTCAAAATTACATTTTTTAGTTTTTTTGGTTTTTTTGCTTTTTGGGTCACACCTGGCAATGCACAGGGGTTACTCCTGGCTCATGCACTCAGGAGTTACTCCTGGCGGTGCTCAGGGGACCATATGGGATGCTGGGAATTGAACCCAGGTCGGCCACATGCAAGGCAAATGCCCTACCTGCTGTGCTATCACTCCAACCCCCACAATTACATTTTTTAAATAAAGATTCTTGGGGGCCAGAGGAGATAGCTCAGGGGTCAGGAGTGCACGCCTTGCATGTATAAGTTCTATCCAGATTCAAACTTTAGCACATGGCCCCTGTGCAAAGTAGGGAGCAACACAGGCAACCACCAGGGGTAGCTCCTGAGTATTGAGAATCACTAGGAGTAGCCCTGGAGCCCCCTGAACATATCCTGAGAGATGACCCCAGGAAACAAATAAATTTGAACAAACTTTGGAAGGCCAGAGAGATAGCACAGCAGCTAAGGCTGATCTAGATTTGATCCCTGATACCCTATATGGCTCCTGGAGCCTGACAGAGGTAATCCGGGAGTGCAGAACCAGGAGTAAGCCCTGGGCATAACTATGTATGGCCTCAAAACAAACAAAAAACCAAATCCCTTTTAATTGAAACACTTTCTATCGAATAATTCGGTCTGTCTTTTTTTTTTTGGAGGGGGTGGGCAATGTTCAAGGCCACTCCTGAGAGTACTTAGAGGACTGTGGGGTGCTGGGAATCAAACCTGGAATTACATACAAAGCGCTCCAGCCTCTGCACTCTCCATCTTTCAATAACAATATCAGTTATTTCAATACCAGAATCTCTCAGAGAACATTTTTAAACTAGATTCCTACAGCTCTGGAAATTCTTAGACAAGATGTTTAGAGAAAGATGGAAAGTTTTGTTGTTGGGGTTTTGTTTGTTTTATTTTGCAGGTGGGGGAGTCTAGACCATATCTGGCAGTGCTCAAGGGATCACCTGAAGCGCCAGAGACCAAACTGACGCTGACCACATGCAAGGTAAGCACCTTAATTCCAGAACTATCTCTCCAAACCTTACTGGTTTTTAAAAATATATATGCAGATAATTTTGATAAGTCTTATTTGGTAACACTGACTTAACTAGGAGTAAAAACTTAAAATAGGCAATTACTCTTTGTAAAACTATTCGTAACATTATTTTACTCATTAAAATAGACTTACTTTACTTATTAAAATATGTAACAAAGTTGAAAGTTTACATTTCATAGAACAAGAGATTCAAATAAGGCTACTGAGTGGTCACGGAGATGGCACCAAGGGCTGGAGTTCATACTTTGCGAGTGGGAGCTCCAGGTTAAATTCCTGGCACCCCATGGACTTCCAAGCACTGCGAGAGTAGCCCCTAGGCACCAAGTCAGGAGTAGCCTTGAGTTCTGCCAGGTATGATCAAATAAATAAATAAATAAAAGTATTCAGAACAGTTTACTCCCCTAAGACATTCTATTGCTTATCATAAGTGCTGCACTGTAGCACTGTCTTCCCGCTGTTTATCGATTTGCTCGAGCGGGCCCAATGACGTCTCCATCATGAGACTTGCTGTTACTGTGTTTGGTATAAGAGCTATCAAATATAATTACCAGGGATACTTTTAGGACCCTTAAGTTTTTTTCCTAGCACATCATTCAGATTCTGAAGTTTCTTCTGATTTTCCTCAGGATGCTTTAAAGAAGTAGGACTTGACTCTATTATTATTACAGAGTCCTAAAATAGAAGCAGAAAAAAAAAGTGTTCAGTATCAACTGTCAATACAGTTTCAAAAATTTCTAGTGCTGACGTCACAGACAAGATAATTATATTACCAATTTTATACATCTCCCAGTCGGATCTGAAAACACTTTCGTGTGGCAGTAGTGTATAATTATAACATACAAATTCATGTGATTAAAAAGTACATTCAAGGGTCATAGCAACAGTAGAGCAGGAAAGGCATTTGCCTTGCATATGGCCAACCCAGGTTCAATTTCTAGCATCCCATACGGTTCCCAGAGCACCGACAGGAGTAATTCCTGAGTGCAGAACCAGGAGTAACCCTGAGCACTGCAGGTGTGATCCCCCCTCAAAAAAAAAAAAAAGAAAGGAAAGGAGACAGCTGGAATGATCTTTCAAGGTCAGACTACAAGATGGAAAAAGTGAAACTGGGGGGAATTGAGTACTTATGCACATGAGGCACTCTCATAGTCCTACAAGTACCGCCAGGAGTAATTCCTGAGGGCAAAGCCTGGAATAACCCAAACACTGCTGGGTGTGACCACCCCTCCCAACCTCTGCAAAAAAAGAAAAGAGAAAAAGGGAAAGAAAAAACCTGGAATGGACATTTAAAAATCAGACTATAAGCTGGGAAAACTGAAATCTGGGGGGAACTGAGTACTTGTGCACATGAGGAAGGGCATTGTTTTGAAGAAAGGGAAGAGCTGGCTCAGCCTAGGAAGGCACTTGAATGACTGGGTAAGGATTCAGACTGTATTCTGTAAACATTAGCGAACCCAACACATTTACAGCAAAATTGATCATGATATTCCTTTACCACCCAGATTACCTTAAAATTCTGCATTGTCACTACACAGGTTATAAAGCACTGCAAACAGCACTACCAAAGTTTATACCAATAAATACTTACGTCTGTTTCTGATGATTTCTTCCTTTCAAGAACCATTTGATGTCTAGATGAACGCCTTACAGGTGTCACTATTTCTTCAGTAGCTTTTGATCTATTATTGTGTAAGGCTTTTGCTTTTTCAATCAGTTGTTTTGCTTTCGATACATTTTTTGAAGCCAGGCTTACCTAAACAAATATGTAAAAAAATACTTCTAAATTTTCAAATAGAGAGATGCCTCCAGACCCCGTGCCAGATTGAGTCTCATCTGGGACAACCCGGAATGGGGTGGGTGAGCCCCGCCACCCCACAGTTGCCACCACAACCCCAGGGCTAGAATGATAGCACAGCGGGTAAGGCGTTTGCCTTGCAAGTGGCCAACATGGCTGACCCAAGTTCGATTCCTCTGCCCCTCTCGGAGAGCCCGGCAAGCTACCGAGAGTATCTCACCCACACGGCAAAGCCTGGCAAGCTACCCGTGACGTATTGGATATGCCAAACACATTAACAAGTCTCAAAATGTTTCTGGCCCCGCTCAAGCAAATTGATGAACAACGGGAGGACAGTGACAGTGAAAATAAAAAACATGCAATAAAGTTTCTCTCAAAAACTTTCAGCTGTTATAAGTGGGAAGAAAAGAAAAAGATCATACAGTGGGGAAGGTGCCTGCCTGGCATGCAGCCAACCCATGTTCAATCCCTGGCATTCCATATGATCCCCTAAGCACCTCCATGAGTGATTCCTGAGTGCAGAGCCAGGAGTAACCCCTGAGCATCAATTGTTGGGTGTGGCCCAAAAACCAAAACTGGAAAAAAAAAAGAGATACCAACTTTCTGCCACAGCAGTTTTCATCCCATATTTATCACAGAATCACCTTGGTGGTTTTTTTTTTTTTTTCTCAATTCCAAGACCTATACTTACTCACCTTGGAACAAACAGCTTATTTTGCAAAAGCAACTAGTCTTTTACCTTTCCTCTCCCTTTAGAGCAGTAGTTTTTGAGTAAGGATGATATTTTTCCTTCCAAGGGATATCTGGACTGTCTGGACACATTTTTGGTCATCTTAACTAGGGATGCTGGCAAGTCGTGGGTAGAAGCCAAGACTACTATGAAATACCATGAAACCATACTGCTCATATATAAAGAAGGGAGATGCCATTTATAGAAGTAATTAATTTATAGACATTTACAACTTAGAGGAATAAAATTCAAATTCAATTATGACCCATAAGTATGCATCAGATTGCCTAAATCTTTCACTATTCTTTCAATTACTTTTCTAAGTGTTTTTCTCCACCCCCACCCCCCACCCCAGTTTTTGGGCTACACCTGGTAGTGTTCAAGACTTTTATTCTTGGCTTTGTGTTCAGGGTTTATTCCTGGTGGGCTCGGGGGACCATAGGAGATGCTAGAAATCAAATCTGGGTTGGTTGTGTACAAGGCAAGCGCCCTACCTGCTGTAAATATTCTTATCTATTCTATTTTTCTATACTTGTAAATTGCTTTTATCTCATATCTTCCTATTTTATTAAACTAGAGGAATAGAATAGTTAGTAAAATATTTTTGGCCGAGAGCTCAATATGCTGAGTACATGCTTTGCGTGCAATGAAGCCCAGACTCAATCCCCAGCATCAAATGGCCCTAGGATAACCAGGAGTAATTCCCAAACATACTGCCAGGTATGGTTCAAAACCAGAAAATAGGTCACTGTCACTGTCCTCCCATTGTTCATCGATTTCCTCAAGTGGGCCCAGTAACGTCTCCATTGTGACAATTGTTACTGTGTTTGGCATATTGAATACATCACGGGTAGTTTGCCAGGCTTTGCCATGCAGGTGAGATATTCTCGGTAGCTTGCCGGGCTCTCCGAGAGGGGCGGAGGGATCGAACTCGGGTCGGCCATGTTGGCCGCTTGCAAGGCAAACGCCTTACCCGCTGTGCTATCGCTCCAGCCCAGAAAATAGGCAAGTGAAAAATAATATTATAGTTAAGATACACAATCTAAGTTTACTGAGTACCCTCCAAAATTAAGCTCCCATATGACCCAGCAATTTCACTTTTGAATATCTATTCCCAGGACAAAAAAACACTCATTGAGGGGCTAGAGTGACAGCACAGCGGATAGGACATTTGCCTTGCACGTGGCCGACCCAGGTTCAATTCCCAGCATCCCATATGGTCCCCCGAGCAACACCAGGAGTAATTCCTGAGTGAAGAGCCAGGATGTGACCCAGAAAGCAAAATATCCCCCCTCAAAAAAAAAAACAAAACCCCTACTCATTGAGAAGAACATATACACACCATTATTCACTGCAGCACTCAGTAAAATAGCTAAGATTTGGAATCAACCTAGATGCCCAACAACAGGTAAGTGGATCATAAAGATGTGGTATATATATACACAATGGAATACTATACAACTGTAAGGAACGATGAAATCATGCAATTTTCAGCAACATGGATGGAACCAGAAGATAGTTAAATGAAATAAGCTAGAAGGAAAGGATAAACAAAGGATAAGGTAAAGGTAAAGGTAAAGGCCCTCCCGTTGATCGTCGATTTGCTCGAGCGGGCCCAGTAACGTCTCCATTGGAGACTTTGTTGTTACTGTGTCTGGCATATCGAATACTCTCGGTAGCTTGCCGGGCTCTCCGAGAGGGGTGGAGGAATCGAACTCGGGTTGGCCATGTTGGCCGCTTGTAAGGCGAACGCCCTACCCGCTGTGCTATCGACAAAGGATGCTATTACTTATATGAGGTGTTTAGAGTAACTGGATGAGGGAATACAATGTTTTAAAGGGGTGATACCCAGATCAAACTTGGCCCCATAATATAAAGGGGAGAAGGAAAGAAAGACTGGAGAGGGGGAAGAGAGACAGATGAGAAGCAATGGAGAAGCCAGGTCAGGGGATTAAGGTACAAAGATGGTGTTAAGGAATGATAAAACCAAATATCCAAACCACAGAGTCAACAAACTTTAACAACCAAACTTGACAAACCAAGCATGTCAGGAGGGGAAAAAGGTGGGGGGATAAGGGAGGAAAGCTGGGAACAGTGGTGGAGGAAAGTTGATACTGGTGGTGGGATTGGTGCTATTAATACTGAACACCTAAAACTCAACCATGGGAGTGTATGTGATGCCATCAGCAGGTCAGCCTATACCAGCGAGGTAAGTGGATCACAGCCTGATGGTGCCTTCAGACTTCCTAATACTTCAAAATTGCCACTATGCCTCTAGCCTGACTGCAACAACGGGGGACCAGTTTCCCGAGAAATTAAATGGCTAAAAGTTAGGTATCTGGGAGCCACACCCACAAACCATCTCCAGCTCAGTTGTACAAGCTCATTTATCAACCTTGCTTCAGTTTTTTTTTTTTTTCTTTTTGGGTCACACTTGGCGATGCACAAGTGTTACTGTTACTTCTGCCTCACGCACACAGGAATTACTCCTAGCGATGCCCGGGGGACCATATGGGATGCTGAGAATCGAACCCAGGTCGGCTGCGTGCAAGGCAAACGCCCTACCCACTGTGCTATCTGCTCCAGCCCCTCAGCCTTGCTTCAGAGACCATAAACAAATCTTGAAGGAGATCAAAAGCTGAAGTTAGTCACGGACCCATGCAAGGCTGAACAAAGCAGGGTAAATTGGAGGGGGCGGGTCAGCCTGGTGCCCACCCAGACAGAGTCCCTGGCAGCTGCTTGCTTCAACAATCCAAAATCAGGGCCCAGAGCAATAGTACAGTGGAGAGGTCATTTGCCTTGTATGCGGTCGATCTGGGTTCGATCCCAGCATCCCATATGGTCCCCCAAGCATTGCCAGGCGTGGTTCCAGAGTACAGAGACAGAACTAACTCCTGAGTGTCACTGGGTATGACCCAAAAAATGAAAAAGCAAAAACAAACCAAAGAAATCACCACCATGCCCTCAGTCAGACTCCACCATCTCGGGATGGACCTCATTGAGATATGATCTGCTGAAAATTCAGGTATGTGAATTTTGTGACAGAAATCTCCAGGATTTCTCAGGGTCCGGATGGACAACCTCCCCATACCTCTCTGTAGACTTCTGGAAGCCTCAGGAGTCACATCCACACCCCAACCTACCATCCACTTAAAAAAGGTACTCCAGCCTTACCTTCCCAATAAAAATACTGAATGCCCTGAACAAACATGATGACCTCTTAGTACCTGTATTGCAAACTATAATGCACAAAAGGAGAGAAAGGGGAAAAGTGCCTGCTATACAGGCAGGCTCGGAGGTGATGGTGAATGGTGGGAGGGAAATGGGAGATATGTGCACTAGTGGAAGATGTGGTGTGAAATGTAAACTGGTGGAAGAATGGGTGTTGGATCATTGTATGACTGAAACCCATGAACAGCTTTGTAATGGTCTATCTCACAGTGATTAAATAAAATATTTTTCAATAATAATAAAAAAAAACAAAGGGGGCTGGAGCAATAGCACAGTGGGTAGGGTGTTTGCCTTGCATGCGGCCCACCTGAGTTCAATTCCCAGCATCCCATATGGTCCCCTGAGCACCGCCAAGAGTAATTCCTGAGTGCAGAGCCAGGAGTAACCCCTGTGTATCGCCAGGTGTGACCCAAAAAGAAAAAAATAAATAAATAAATAAATAAATAAAATTTTATTTCAGCATTTGTCAATTTTCCTTTTCCCTGAACTATTTATTTGAAAAGTTAAATTTCAGATATTATCTCAACTCTTACAAAAATTGTATTGATTATTCTAGCTAAACTATTTTAATAAATTCTTTTTAGGGAAAATAATTTTTTTTTTAAAAAAAACCTCAACAATGAATAACTTTGTAAACTGTAAATCGTGGTGCTTTAATTAAAAAACAATTTTTTAAAAAGACACCCAATCGATGATATATGTGATTCTCTTGAATATCAATTCCAACACCAGTAGCTGGTATTTTAGGAAAGCAAAAATCACTACAGAATTCTCTACATATCAATTACCTTTCTAGTCTGAGAAGTGAAATCTTCATCTGTTGCTTCAGATTTCTTGGATCTTTTCTTAGATTTTTTTGGAGTACTAATTCTGGTAAATTTCATTCTGAAAAAATAAAAGAGAATATTCAGAAACACACTCATGGTCATAATGTTTAAGAATTTCAATTAGGAACCGGAGAGATAGTATAGCAAATAGGGTGCTTGCCTTCCACAGGGCTGACCAATTCCTGGTGTCCCGTGTGGTCCTGAGCTCACCAAAAGTGATCCTAAAGCATAACAGATATGTCCCCACCAAAAAAAGAAAGAATTGTGATGCTAGAGTGATGCTATGACTCTAGCATCACAGGTAGGGCACTCCCCTGCTCAAGGCAATTTCCGTTTGAACCCCAGCACAGTACATAGTCCCCTAAACTCCTTCAGGAATGATCCCTGAGGGGCTGGAGCGATAGCACAGTGGGTAGGACGTTTGCCTTGCACGTGGCTAACCCAGATTTGATTCTCAGCATCCCATATGGTTCCCCGAGCGCTGCCAGTAGTTCCTGAGTGCATGACCCAGGAGGAATCCCTGTGCATTGCTGGGTGTGACCCCAAAAAACAGGGGGGTGGGGGGGAATAGTGATCCCTGAGCATAGAGCCTGGATTAAGTCCTGTGTACAGCTGGGTGTGCTGCTTTCTCCAATAAAAAAAATTTTTTTAAAGAAAACTTCAATTAAGGGGCCAGAGAGGTAGTACAGGGTTTAGGATACTAACATTGGCGTGCTCCTGCACCACAAGGCCCTCTGAAGAACAGGTGTGTCAGAGGTGGCCCTGAGCATGGCTAGGGTGGCCCAGGTGGTCCCCAGCACCACAGGGCCCTCACACTGAGCTGTCAGGTACAGCTCAATGAGAATCTTACACAGTAGCTTCAGGACCCCCGTTTGAACACTGTCCTGGCAGGAGGGGGTGTTAGAATACTTTTTTTAGAGGCTGGAGAGATAGTACAGTGAGTAGGGCATTTGTTTTGCATGCAGCTGACTTGGGTTCAATTCCTGACATTCCCAATGGTTCCCCAAACACCACCAGGAGTGATTCCTGAGCACACAGTGCAGTGTAAGTTCTGAGCATCATTGGGTGTGCCCTTCCCCCTCAAAAAAAAAAAAGAAGAAAAAAAAACAGTTCCAAGATTGAGGAGTTGGGGGGGAAGTATGAGGGGACTCAGGGCTCAGACTGGTAATGCTCAGGAGCCACCGCCAGGCTCTCACTGGTGATGTTGGTTGGTAGGAGGCATGCAGCACTGGGGAATCAACCCCGGAACCTCTGCATATGCTCTACTCTTGATCTGCATCCTGATTGATTGATTGATTTTGGGCTTTGGACCATACCTAGCAGTGCTCAGGGGACCATGCAGAGCCAGGGATAGAATCTGGACTTTGTGCCTTAAGCTAGCTCTCCAGCACTATCTTGTTTAACAAATATACAAAATTCCTGTTTAAAAAATACTTCTCCTAGGACTAAAACTGACAAACAGCTACATTATTATTTTTAAAAATTACTACTACATTATTTTTAAAAAAAGGGGGGGGGAGGCTGGAGCGATAGCACAGCGGATAGGGCGTTTGCCTTGCACACAGCTGACCGGGTTCGATTCTCAGCATCCCATATGGTCCCCCAAGCACCGCCAGGGGTAATTTCTGAGTGCATGAGCCAGGAATAACCCCTAGGCATTGCCGGGTGTGACCCAAAAAGATAAAAAGAAAAAAAAAAGAGGGGCTGAAGCAATAGCACAGCGGGTAGTGCGTTTGCCTTGCACGCGGCTGACCTGGGTTCGATTCCCAGCATCCCATATGGTCCCCTGAGTACCTCCAGGGGTAATTTCTGAGTGCAGAGCCAGGAGTAACCCCTGTGCATCTCCAGGTGTGACCCAAAAACAAACAAACAAAAAAATGTTAATCTTAGATGAAGTTTGCATTTTCTTAACTTTAAGTCTTTCTTTTTTCAAACTTATCCTTAGATAAATCTGAGTAAGTTAAAAAAAAAACTGACGAAGAGAACCAGAGTAAGAAAACAGTGGCAACTTGCTCGTCCCGCTGCCACCGACCCAAGTTCTCCAGCATCCCATATGGTCACCTGAGCACTGCCATAAGATTCCTGAGTGCAGAACCAGGAGTAACCCCTGAGCTTCACTGGTGGGGCCCCCAAACTAAAAAAACAGATTAAAAATAAAATAGTGACAAGAGTTTAGAACTCAGGCTGGTATGTAACTTAGCAGCAGAGTTGCTTTGCATACGTGAAGTCAATTTCCAGAACCATAACAAACAAGTAAAGGTAAAAATCTCTCAATTTCATCTAGGAAGGCCAGGGAGACAGCTCAAAGGGCTGGAGCAGACTTACATGTTAAAGCCCCAGGTTCAATATCCCCAACACCAGATGGCCCCCTGTGCACCACCAGAAAGCAACTGTAGAGCACTACTGGATATTGGCCCAAAGCAAAATAAATTTCATCTACAGACTGGGACATGACTAGTAAAATGCCTGCATTACATGTGTGAGGCTTTGGGTTTAATCCTCAGCACTCAATGAATGAACAAATTCAAAACATTTGTCTTTAAATATGGAGAGGCTAGAAAGATGAACTCAATAGCCAGAGCACGTTTTACATGCAGGAGGCCAGAGTTCGATCTTTGGCAACACATGGTCCCCCGAGCACCACTGGGAGTAAAACTAAGCACTAAGCCAGGAGTATCCACTGTCAGTGTGGCCCAAAAACTTAAATGTGATAAAACAGCAGCATTTTAAAATCCTGTTTTCTTTTTTGCAGAGCTGGGATGAAACCCACAAAGTTCTCTCCAATGCAATGTTTTCTTTTTGGAATGCATCAGCAGTGTTGTAGATTAAAAAACAACAACAACAACAACAAAAAACATACCTTTTAGGGCTAGAAAGATAGTACAGAAAGTGCTTGCCTTGCATGACACTAACCTGGTTTAATCCCTGAGTATCAATAAGAGTGATCCCTGAGTGCTGTCAATTATGTTTCAATTTCCTTTTCCCTACCCCCAAAAAATACCCCCCAATGCTTGAAGTTATTTTCCTTCCTTAAATAGAATACTTTAGACACAAAAAACACAAGGTTACCTAATAGGGCTCTCTGAGTCAGAGGACACCATTATTAGTTCCGCTGTATATAGGCTGTGCTTTTCTGATAAGCTGGCTGCTTTGGGAGTGGAAGCCTTCACAGGACTATCATCTCGTTCATCTTCAGAACCTCCAAGGACTGCAGATATGTTGCTACTTCTCAAAGATCTTCTTCTGGTTGATTTGGGAGTGGAATAATTTACCAAACTATCTTCAGTTTGAACTTTAGAATGTATTGTCTTATCCTTAATTGGTGTGCTGGTTCTTCTTATAGATTTATTGCTGCAGAAAGCAGTCATCTTCAAAGGTTTATCATTGGCTTTATCTTCGCCAGCAAGACTTTCACTGTTTCGGGAAACTTCTGTTTTCTTTTTTCTTAAACTCATTCTAAGTCTATTTTGATTTTGCTCATCTTTAAAGAAAAAAGTTGTTTCTTTCTTTTGAAGTTCTTCCTCTCTATTTTCACCTGAAGCAGTAGCAATATTAAACATTTTCTTATTCTTTTTCTTCAGTGTTTTACTCTTCTCCTTATAAAAACTTCCTTTATCAGGGTATGACTGTGAACTGTCATTATTTGAAAGTATTTGTACACTGGGATTTTCCATAATTACTTTAGAATTATGGTCCCCTCCGTCCTCACTTGAAGATTTTTCACAGAGCTCTCTCTGCTTATCAGTCTTTTTACCTCCATTTTTAAGGGCATCTGAACCTGGCTGCCTGAATGCTTTCATAAACTGCTGTCTTTCTTCTAGAGAACATTTTGGTTTCATAGCTTCAGAACTTCCAGCTTCCAATACTGCCAATTCTAATTCTTCCTCCCGGATAACCACATTAGATTTTCGTTTCTGAACTGTCTGTTCATTTTCAGGATCGGACAGACTAGTTTCCATTTCCAACTGCTTTTGCTTCAAGAAAATTGCAGGTATTTTCCCTGTCTTTTTTGGGGGAACAGGGTGAACTTGTGCAAGAACAGTTACTGTTTTAGAGCATACTTGCTGGGAAATTTCACAGGCTTCCCTATCATTTGTACAACCACTTTTGACTGCCTCTTCAATGGCATCAGAATGGATACAAGTTGACACTGTAGAATCTGGTATATGTTCTTGCATTTCTGTCTGACTTTTTAAAAATTCTTCATAGGAAACAGTTATGGTCCTCTCATTGAATTGGGGCGTTTCAGTGACATTATCACCAGAGCTTAGATAAATTTCAGTGCTGTCAATTTCCTTAGTCGGGGAAAGCATTCTCTGTTCACTCTCTTTACCATTTTTCTTAAGACCGAGTCCCTCTGCCCCAAGGAAACTTTCAGATAGCTCTATTATATCCTTGTGCTTTCTTTTTCTCAATTTTTTGCAAGCACTTTTTGTGGTCCTTTCTTTAGGACTGACACTCTCAGAACTTCTGGAGATTGAAGTGCTTGACTGGTTTGGAATATCTGCAACATATTCTGCAAGTTCTTCTACATGCTTGTTATACAGGCACACCGAAGTACTACTTTCCACAAAGTCATGATTTAAACTACCTTCCGTGCTATCATCGCTGAGGATTTCAATTGGCAATTCATTTTTAGGTTGAATATCATTTTGCCGATGAACTCTTTTTCTTCTCCTTTTAAACTCTGTATTTGAGAACATTTCCAAAGGTGTTTTCAAATCTTTGTCTCTGTGAGCCGGCAATGTTATGTGTGAATTTATCTTGCATTCTTTTGCTGATCGAGTCTGTTCATTTGTAGGGGAAGACTTTCTAAAATAATCCAGAATATTACTGGATTTGGGTGAAGAAAAAATCCTGTCCCCAGACTTTCCTACTGGTGATAAATATTCCCTAATTGTTTTGCAGGAAAGTGTGTCATCATCTTTCCTTCGCTTTTTGCATGCCTATGAATTTAAGAGAAGAAAAAAAGGCATTTATTTCAAATACAACCATATAAACCATGCAGCTGACCTGGGTTCAATCCCCAACACCTCATGTAGCCCCCCAAGCCTGCCAGGACTGACCCTTGAGTACAGAGACAGAAGTAAGCCCTGCACACTGCTGGATGTCGTCCAATAACCAAACAAACCAGACAGACATAGGCTAAACATGGATTAATACTTGATGAGAGAACAGAAAATTAAGGTTCCTGCAGGTACCAAACATAACAGACAGGACCAGGCTCTGATTCACAGGTTTTGCTTTCTGTGGTTTCTGTTACCTCTGGTCAAAAATTGTTCAAAAACATTTCAGTCAACATGAAAATTTGAGAGCATAGTCATGTGACTTTTATAAACTATACTGCTGTAATTGCTCTATTTTGTTATGATCATGGTTAGTCTTTTAGTATGTCTAATCCATAAATTAAGCCTTAATATCTATGTGAATGTATGTTAAAAGCTTATTCCATATAGGGTATAGTATTATATTCAGTTTCAAGTCTTGGAAGATATTCTAAGCAAAGAGGAACTACTGTGTTAGAAAGAAAAGGAGGCAGTGGAGAGATAGTACAGTGGTTAAGGTGCTTGCCTTGCAAGCAGCTGACCTGCGTTCAATTCCTGCCATCACATACGATCCCTCAAGCACCACCTGGAGTAACCCCTGAACATTGCTGGGTATGGCCCAAAAGGGAAAAGGAAAGGGAAAGGGGGAAAGGGGAAGGGGAAGGGGAAGAGGAAGGAAAAGGGAAGGAAGGGAAAGAGAGAGAGGAGAGTTTATGCAGCTGACCATGGTCTGCATGCATAAGGTCCTGAGCACTGCCAGAAGTGACCCCCAAGAAGAGTCAGGAGTAAATCCCTGAGTAGAATCAAACATAATCTCTGACCTCCTCCAGGAGTGGTCCAAAAACCTCCCCACATACCAAAAAGAAAAAAAAAAGTTTCACTTACATTGAAATTTCAATATCATATCAAAGGACACACTAAAAACTACGTATCCTTTACTCTAAACATTACACATCAATAAAAATTTCCAAGATCACTATCTTTATAAGTATTGCTAGTATGTTTGACAATCTTTGAATAGTATCAACCACCTCAGAAAATTTCTAATGAACAAGTTTCATAAAAGCATATGAAGCTGGGACTAGAGTGATAGCACAAAGTATGGGGCCCTTACTTAGAATCCCAAAATGTACTGATCATGTGGAAATTATTATGGAGGTCAGAAATAGTGCTTAGGGTACAGACCTAACATGTATCCAACTGGGTTCAATACATGACATCACATCATCTCCCTATCATTGGGGGGGATGGGCTGGAGCGCCCTGGGAAAAACCTAGGTGCCCCGGGTTATCCCCACAGTGCAGGGTGCAAGCAGCCCAGCATGAAAACCTCCAACCCACTGAGAATCATCAGAAAGGCCTCAGATCCTTCTCCTACATCCCTTGGTTGATGCCTGGGAGGCAAAATAAACCAAAAGTCAAATTATGAAGGGAGAATACAAATGAAAACTTTGCAGGGTTTTATTTTGCAATTAAAATGAATTAAAATGAATAATGAATAATCTCTGGGGCCAAAGAGATAGTACAGGAGTTAAGGTGCTTGCATTGCGTGAAATCAACACTGGTTTGATTCTGAGCACCACAAAGGATCTCCTGAGCAGAGTCAAGGAAAGTCCGTATGTATCACCAGGTGTGGCCCATCCTCTCCCCTCCCCACCCCCATCACCCAAAAAACAACAGATAACATCATTGCATGTAATAGGCCCAGGTTTGATCCCTGGCACTGCCTGGTCTCTCCAACTGTGTGTGGGGAGTACTGTAGGAGGCATATATGGAGGGCCCCTCTCCACAAAAACAAAATATCAGATGTTTGTTTCCTATATTACTTGTTATCCTCGCAATATCATGGTACTGTATGGTAAAATGTCCTATTTTTGTTGGTAACAAATAAGTAACTTACAGTATAGTTTATTGGGGGTACAGCAGGAAGGGTAGCTAACTTGAGTAATTCCCAGCAATCTATATGGTCCCCCAAGCCTACCCCAGGAGTGATCCCTAAGCAAGGAACCTGAGGAGGCCAGGTAAGGCCCAAACCACCCTCTTAAAAGAGAAAGAGAGAGAGAGATAGAGAGAGAGAGAGAGAGAGAGAGAGAGAGAGAGAGAAAGGAAAAAGCTTATTGGCTACAAAAAGTTCCATCAGCGGAGTGAGTGAGACAGTACAGAAGGGCAGGGCATTTGGCTAGCACATGGTCAACTAGGTTTCTGTCTCCTGGACCTCATATGGTCCCCCAAAAGTCCGCCATGAGTGACTTCTGAGCACAGCCAGGTGTGGCCCAAAAACTTTTTTTGTTCCTTTCTTGAGGTGGGGAGCGGATGCTTTGGGCCATACCCAGAGGTGCTCAGAACTTACTCTTGGCTCCATGCTCAGTATTCACTCCTGCTACTGCTCAGGGGCCATATGTGATACAGGGAATTTGAATCAGAGTTGGCAGCATGCAAGGCAAGGGTCTTAACCTCATACTATGCAGCCCGAGAAGTGGGGTGAGGGAAGCGAAATGGAGGGAAGCTGTTTTTTCAGTGCCAGTGATCAGCTCAGGGCCTTACCCATGCAGGGGAAGGGCTCTACCACTGAACCATATCCCTGCTTTCTGATTTTACTTTTTAACTTTCTCTCATCAGTAAAAAACAAGAATACCTAATAACAGAGTTGATATTAACTAAAAGAATGTGTATAAGGTTCATATCCTTATAATATCCAATAGGTATCATTACTATGAAATAGTCTCTTTAGATAGCACATCCAAAGCAGAAACTGTAACGAATAGGTTGATCACATAAAAATCAAGAACTGTGGGGTTGGAGATGAAGCACAGTGGGTCAGGCACTTGTATTGCCAGAATGATCCCTGAGTGTGGAGTCAGGAGTAGGAGAAGGGCACTGCTGCGTGTGACCCCCCCCAAAAAAAATATATAAAAAATAAAAACAAATCAAAAACTGTGGGTCCTGGAGCAATAGCACAGTGATCCCTGAGTGCAGAGTCAGAATAAGCCCCACAATTGCTGGATGTGACAAAACAAAAGAAAACAAAACAAAAACAAAACAAAAAAAAACACTTCAAGATCTGTGTAAACATAACCTCAATTTGACAGTATCAAAGTAACAACTATGAGCACACCAACAGGAGTTACTCCATAAAAAAAGTCCCAGGGACCAGAAAGATAATACAGAGGGTACTACCTAGCATTCCAAATGGCTCTCAGAACACTGCCAGGAATAATTCTTGAATGCTGAGTACCCCTGGTTGTGACCATCCTCCAAAAAACAAAAATAAATAAATAAATAAATACAGTGCCAGTAAAATACACATCTTGGCTGGTTCCAAGGACATTTGTATGCTTAGATCAGAATTTTAGCTTGAGATAACAAGATAAAATATTGGGGGCCAGAGAGATAGTCCAGCAGGTAGGGCATTTGCCTTGCATGCAGCCGACCAGGATTCGATCCCCGGTATCCCATTTGATCCTCCAGCACTGTCAGGAGTGCTTCCTGAGTGCAGAGCCAGGAGTATCTCCTGAGCATTGCTGGGTGTGACCCAAGAAGCCAAAAATAAAAAAATTATAAAAGTGGAACGAAGAGATAGTACACTGGGTAAGGGGCTTGGCAAGAGAAAGCCCTGAGCACTACCAGATGTGGCCCCCAAAAAATAACAACAAAATGTATTAAAAACGCAACTGTGTACTCTAGGGTGCACCTTACTCCCGAAAGAGGCATTTATAATCTCTTTACTATGACAGTATCAAAGCTGGAGAGATCGGTAAGACCTGCGCCTTAAACCCGACCCAGACTGGAGCCTAGCATCCTCGGCACCATCCTCAGCATCATATATGTCCCCGCTGAGCACAACTGGTGTGGCCTACGAACAAAAGCTAAAATAAAAACACACAAGACACTTGACTATGAACGCTCTGTGCATTCCACTATAACTTGATGATCATCAAAAAAACGATGAGCACACCACCGAATTATGGTCTGTCCGAAATGCACATATCAGTAACTCTGTAAATCATACCTTTTTAATGAAAAAAAAATTTTTTTAAAGAAAAGAATGAGCACAAAGTGACATGCTGAAAACCGAATCGCATATTAAGCTCTACAGCCCTGAGAAATAATTTTTTTTTAATTAAAAAACAACAACAACAACAAAACGGGTTTGATGCCAGCAGTGACAATCCGAGCCACAAACTTCCCAGAACAAATCGATGGCCGGATTCGGGGAACTTAACATCCCCAAGGCTCAGCTTCCAGGGCTCCTCCCGGGAAAGCCTGGCCGGAGCTACAGGACTCGGCCGAGTCTGTAAAAGCACCGAGGTCCGGCCCCCGCGGTGGGCGCCCGGGGATGCGGCGTCCGCGCGCGTCGGGACCCGCGGCAGCCCCAGCCCTGTCAGGGGTCGAGCAGCGTCCCCGCGCGTCGCCCCCCGCCTCTCACCTTCATCTCGTAGTCCCCCGCCGCCGCCGCCGCCGCCGCCGCCACGGTCAGGACGCCCACCATGCTCGCCGCTGCCCGGGGCCCCGCGCCTAGGGGCCGGGGGCCATGGAGACGCGGGGGCCGGGGGTCGCAGGGGCGGCCTGGCACCGAGGCCGGGCCCAGCGCCGGGCGCGGGAAAGCGCGGGCGGCGAGGCGGCTGGGGCGCGGCCGGGGCGCCTGCGGTGTCCCCTGAGGCGAGGGCTCCCGGCCCAGCGGCCCGGCCCGGGCTCCCGGCACCGAAACCAGGCCCGAACGCAGACCCGAGCCCGGGGCTTCCGAGCGAAGTTCTTGTCAATTGGGTTTTCGCGCCCTCCCGCGCGCAGGGGGCGGGGCGTCGGAGGGCTCCCGGAGGCGGCGGGGACGGCGCGCCGGCAGGGCCAAAATAGTGCGCGGGCGGAGGCCAGGAAGTGGAGTCCGGGGGAAATTTACGGTTGGCCTGGGTTGGGGAGGTTCGGGTTCCTCGGACCCACGGACGCGCAGGAGGACGTAGTTTGAACTAAAGTCGGTGGCTGGCAGAATTACAACCTAGGCTTCTAACGCCCCACGTTGGGCTCTAGTTGAAAAGTGGAAATTTGAAAAAATATGGAAAAAGGAAATAATTGGTGCCGTTCCTCTCATCCAAAATAAAATGTTAGCATCCAGGCAAGCTCGAGATACATCCGTTTGGGGTCCTAGATTAGCTCAAAACTTTTTTCGACTTAAAGAGGCATTTTTCTCTATTTTTCCTTTTTTTGGGGGGTGTTGTTTTGGTTTGTGTTTGGTTTGGGGTTTTGGCCACACCCAACAATACTCAGGGGTTACTCCTGGCTCTGTGCTCAGGAATTATTCCTGACGGTGTTTAGAGGACCATATTAGTTTCTGGGAATCAAACCTGGATTGGCCATGTGCAAAAGTAAGAGCCTTTAGGTCTCTCCCAATCCCAAGGAGGTATTTCTTCTAATGAGTTTCTTCATGGGCTGGAGCAATTGCACAGCAGGTAGGGCAATTGCCTTGCATACGGCCAGCCCGGCCATCCTGGGTTCAATTCCTCTGCCCCTCTCGGAGAGCTCGGCAAGCTACCAAGAGTATCTTGCCCATACAGCAAAGCCTGGAAAACTAACCGTGGAGTATTCAGTAGCAAGTCTCACGATGGTGACATTACTGGGCCAAACACAGTAACAAGTCTCATGATGGTGACATTACTGGGTCCGCTAGAGCAAATCGATGACCAACAGGATGACAGTGTTACAGCGTTACAGAGTTTCTTCATCAATAGCTAAATTGCGGATGGCAATATTCTCAACAGGTTGGGGTGTGCTCCAGTTTTCCCAGGGTACCTGGTAGTCTGGGATTATATGTAGTATAGGAATGGAGCTATGGTTTCCTGAGTGCAAAGCATATTTGTTTGGTCGGTTGGTTTTGTTTTATAGGAATTTTGTTTGGTTTGAAACCCCACTAGGCTATGCTAAAGGCTTACTCCTGGCTCTGAGCTCAAGGTCATTCCTGGCAGTGCTCTGGGAACATCAGAGGAGCCTACCTAGGATCTAACTCGCCGGACTATGCAAGGCAAGCACTCTGGGACTGGAGATATAGTACAGTGTGGTGGGCTATCGCCTTTCACGTGGCTGACCCGGCTTTGATCCCAGGCATCCATATGGTCCTTGGAATACCACCAGCAGTGATTCCTGAGCACAGAGCCAGGACTAACCCCTAAGCATTGTGGGGTGTGGCCCCAAAACAAAAAGGGCAAGACCTGTGCTGTATTTCTATTACTCCAGCCACGAGTGCATTGTTCTGATTTGTTTTTCTTTATCTTGGGGGTCGGGGGAGCAGGAGAATGGCACATCTGGTGGTGCTGAAGCCTGACTCTGTACTTAGAAGTCCATGCAGAGGCTGGGTATTGAACCGGGTGTGCCCTGTGAAAGGGCTCTGCGTGCTATATTATCCTTCCTTGCCTGTCCCACTCCTTGGTGGCATTCATCCATACTGTGCTGTAGTGCCTACAGGAGGTACTGCTCTCACAGGTGCTTGGCAGTGCTGATCAAGAGTCTTGGTTTTTTTGTTTGTTTGTTTTAGGTGTGTATTGGTAGGATTATTCCCAAGAAGTACCTGAATGTGCTGGAAGGAGGGGAGGGGAAGCATTCTACCCTTTGTAATATCAGGCCCCAGCACTTTGTTTTTGGTCTTTGGTTTTACTTTTTCTGTGTGGGGAGGGTGTGAAGTGGGGATCTGATTGTGCTCAGTGCTTACTCCTGGCTCAGTGCTCAGGAGACCTTATATGGTGCTGGTGATTGAAGTATGGTCAACTGCATGCAATGCGGTGAGTGCCCTGCCCCGTACAATCTCTCCCTAGAAGCCAGAGTAATAGTACAGCAGATAAGACACTTAGCTTGAACGGGGCCCATCTGGATCCAATCCCAGGCATCTCATATGGTCCCCTAACCCACCGTGAGTGATTCCTGAGTGCAGAGCCAGGAATAACCCTGGGTCGTGACCAGGTGTGGCCCCAAAACCCAAACCAAAATGAACCAAAAAGAATTTTTACTAAGCCCACTGAGCAATTTTCCTGGGCCCCCGTTTGTTGTTGCTGTTGTTTTTGTTTGTGTATTTTTTGTTTTTTTAGAATTTTTGAGAATTCATTCACTCTTTTTTTTTTTTTTTTTTTTTTGCTTTTGGGTCACACCCGGCAATGCACAGGGGTTACTCCTGGCTCTGTACTCAGGAATTCCTCCTGGCGGTGCTCAGGGGACCATATGGGACGCTGGGAATTGAACCCGGGTCAGCCGCATGCAAGGCAAATGCTCTACCTGCTGTGCTATCGCTCCAGCCCAGAGAATTCATTCACTCTTTTTTCTAGAGGTGTTAGGATCAAACCCAGGACCTCAGGGACTAGAGCGATAGCACAGCGGTAGGGCGTTTGCCTTACAAGCGGCCAACATGGCCGACCCGAGTTCGATTCCTCCACCCCTCTCGGAGGGCCCGGCAAGCTACCAAGAGTATCTCGCCCAAACGGCAGAGCCTGGCAAGCTACCCGTGACGTATTCGATATGCCAAACACAGTAACAAGTCTCATGATGGAGACGTTACTGGGCCCGCTCAAGCAAATCGATGAACAACGGGAGGACCGTGACCGTGACTGTGGCTAACCTGGGTTCAATTCCCCTCAACCCATATGGTTCCCTGAGTACCGCCAGGAGTAATTCCTGAGTGTAGAGCCAGGAGTAACCCCTGTGTATCGCCGGGTGTGACCCAAAAAAAGAAAATAGGACCTCTGACTTGTGTATGAGATAGGAACTTTACTGAGTCATCACCTTCCAACCCCACTTAGTATCAGATTTTTTTTTTTTTTTGCTTTTTGCTTTTTGGGTTACACCCAGCGATGCTCAGAGGTTACTCTTGGCTCTGCACTCAGGAAGCACTCCTGGAGGTGCTTGGGGGACCATATGGGATGCCAGAGATTGAACCCGGGTCAGCCGCTTGCAAGGCATATGCCCTACCCGCTGTACTATCACTCCGGCCCAGTATCAGATTTTTTCTGGAAGAAAGGGGAGAAGGAAGTAGAAGGAGAAAATTACAGAAACAAATGTTACAAAGCGGAGTTTCTGACTTTAGTCTGTCCAAATGCAAGTATTCTCTTCTTTGCCTCTGTGGCAGTAATATTACCTATTTGATGGAGAGCATTGCAATGGGGTGTGTGTGTGTGTGTGTGCGTGTGTGTGTGTATATACACACACATTATCTACATATGTGTATATTTACAAAGAAAATCTTGTTTTGCCTTTATTTACATAAAAGGTAACTCTATAACCATGATTCAGTTATTTGCCTTTTCACCCATTGTTATCAAGAATATTTCCATGTTACATAGCTTGATGTATTGCGTTTCATTCCTGAAATTCTATCCAATTATGCACACTTTATCCATTTCCTTAGAGATGAATATTTAAGCTATCCACAGTTTCCTGTTATTCAAACGACACAATTGATGAACATTGCTGTTCATGTCTCCTTGGACACATGTAATATTTCCCTAAAATGCACACCTAAACGTGGAATTGCTGAGTTAAAGAATACGTATCTAGGACTTTCATTGGGCAGAGGAGGAGTGTACTGAAAGGATTATGCAGTGCCTGAATAGAAACTGAGGCTCCGCCATGTAAAGTGTGCAATAGATTCCCTTGAATAACCTGTCTGGCAAAGACAATTCTGTATATGTGTATGTGAAATAAAGCAAGTTTGTTTGGGAAATAAAGGAAGAAAAAGAGAGAAATATGTGCTCAGGAGTGAACATGGTCTTCTCCTTAGTGGAAAAATGCAGGCACAAATCCCAAATAGGGCTGGGTTGCCTGTTTTCCCCAAATGGGGAAATGTGCCTGAGGCAAGAAAGTCCATAGCTCAGGCAGATGGGGGCCGATGAGGCAAGACCCCAAGATAATCTTCTTTTAATCACTTATTTATTTTGGATTTTGGGCCATACCTAACAGTGTTCAGGGCCTACTCCTGACTCTCATTCCTGGTGGGACTTAGGGAACCACATGAGTGCCAGGGACAAATCCAGGTTGACTGTAGGCACAGCAAATGCCCTTCCCACAGTAGTATTTCCCTGACCCCAAACTTTTATTATTTTGTTTTGTTTCGTTTTTGGGTCACACCCAGCAGTGCTCATGACTTACTCCTGGCTTGGTACTCAGGGATGCTAGGGATTGAAATCAGGTTGGCCACATGCACAATAAGTGCCCTACTCACTATACTATTGCTCTGGCCTGTTGTTTTATTATTTTTATTGTTTTTTTAAATTTTTAATTTAGATTCTGTGGTTTACAATAGTGTTAGCAATCGTTCTCCAAGGCTTTTTTTTTTTTTTTTTTTTTTTTTTTGCTTTTTGGGTCACACCCGGCGATGCACAAGGGTTACTCCTGGCTCTGTACTCAGGAATCACTCCTGGTGATCACTCCTGGTGATGGTCGGGGGACCATATGGCCATATGGGATGCTGGGAATTGAACCTGGGTCAGTCGTGTGCAAGGCAAACACCCTACCCGCTGT